TTTCTGGGGTGGGGGGGGGGGGGGGCGCAAACAGAATAATGACGGTGATGAAAGGTGGGGAAGGGAGAAAAGCTGACGGAAAAGCGAAAAGGCGCGAAGCGAAGGATGTGAGCGACACGTGGCTAGGGAAAGAACCGCCGGGACAGCGCACGCCCTTCGTTACTTGCCAATTTTGCGTTTTCCTGCGGGAAGGGCAGGCGGTGCTTCCGATGGCGTGATTAGGCTCCTGGCAAAATCGAGAGCGCCAAACGAGCAATCGACTGCGAACGGTCGACCATAGCTAGTCCCCGCGATATTACTTATCCCTCGCATTTCGTGCAAAAAGTTGCTGAATCGTCGGCGATATTCAATCAGTCTCGAGTTCCTCCCCTTAGCTGACAATTCGGAATGCTCGACAATTTGATCATTGTTTCGACAGCTGATTTTACATTTTGTTACCTTTAAGAACATTATTACCTGTCAACGTGAACGCTTGATGTCGTAACCGATTGCCGACCGTGCGAGTTTGATTCTCGTTCGACATGGCTCTTCGTCGCGGATAACGACAAACCTATTCGCTGACCGTTTTGACCGTCGTTGTCATCGTCGTGCGAGGACACAATTCCGCGATGGCAAGTGATTCTCCCGCATCCGTAAGCGAATGGGTTGACTGGACGTCGTCGTCGCCGTCGCCGTCGTCGTCGTCGTCGTCGTCGTCGTCGTCACGAGAAGGACGATGTTCGACATCATCGATATCACGTCAACGACAACATGATCGTTTTTAGGCTCCTACTTTAGGTCACCTGACGAACCTCCTCATTCGCCACTCCGATCTTATCCCTTGAACCCGATACTAATCTCCGATACTGTATCTTTCAATGAGCATGACGCTCTATCAATGTCTTTATGTATACACAGGACATTCGACGAAGAGTGTCCTGTTGTTCTCTTATCTCTTTCTTGTGTTTTCTTTTTCTCTCTCTCTCTCTCTCTCTCTCTCTCTTTCTCACTCTCTCGCCTTTGCCATTTCCTTTCTAGCTTTGCTCTGCTCTGATGTCTCTTTAACTGTTTGAGACATGACGAAAACCTTTGCACTTTGGAAATATGATATTCTTCGCTAATATCGCAAAGTACAGCGTGTTAACGTCAAAGCAAGAAATTAATGAGCGCTTCCAATTGCCATTATTATATTTATAAATGCAAGATCGATAATTTACAGAAGAGAATTCTTTATATCTCGTCGCTTTGTACACGAAGAAAGTATTGTTAAAATTATATTAAATTCACTTATTTCTTTTCATGTTAAAGTTTTCTGGAAAGCTGCACTAAATACTACATTGTATAAATCACTACAGATATAATAAATTTGACGATTTATCGAATATTAAAATATTAAAGTAATTACGATAATTTTACTGTAAGAAGTCTGGAAGTTGTGTACATAAGTTTGAAATCGGAATTGTTATCATACCATAGTCACATAAGCGACAAAGTGCAAAATGCGAAGGATTGTCATCGATTTCAATCGAGATGACGATTTTCTCGTTACCGAAAATCGCGTGGACTTATCTCTTGTTCCGTCTGAATTTGTTAGAGCGTTTAACGAAATGAATCATCGCCCTCCTTCATATACGCATCCCATTCATCATTCGCATTTTCTATTTTTCCTCCGGGAGATTCGCATAAAAATCAATTATCGTTCAAATACTTGTCGCGAACGCTTTTTCGTCAATTACCATTTATGTTATATTTTTTATCCACTGTAAATTTGAATTTTCCCGATTGTCAATATTAGTCATCGGGAATTGTCAAATGCTACGCATTGTCATTTACTTCTCTCTAAATTTCTCTCTCTCTCTCTCTCTCTCTCTCTCTCTCTCTGTCTGTCTCATAAACTATATTTCCACTTCGATGCTCGCGAAATGTCAATTACACCGTCGCATCCTCGCTTTATCCGACCTCTTGAAAATAGATTCGATAAAATCCCCATGGAAATTAATTGGGGAGAGGTAACGGAGTGAAAGCGTTCGTTAAGCACCCCTTCGTTGTACCTATGATCTCCTCCCCTTCCTTTCACATTTGTCATATTGTCAAACCCCGGTGTTTGTCAGTGCTCGCTGACAACTCTGTCAAGAGTCACGTCGTCATATCCTTTTCATCCAACCATCCTCTTTCTCTGACACCCTACGATAGATTAATTAATTCAGGCTGAAACTCGTCGTCCGCGCTTTCTCGCCGCTCCGACATTATCTCATCTCGCTCTTTGTTCCCCCTCCTCTCTCTTTTTCTCTCTTTCTTGTTGTACTCTTCTTTCTTTCTCTTGATCGTTTTCTCTCTATATCATATCACTCCTGACCCTCTTTTCTCCTCGCGTTAGCATTGGTGACTCGCGAAAGCGTCCCTCGCGAGAGGGACCCGTGCCGGATTTTCTTTTCTTTTTTTTTTTTTGAGGGAGGCTGCCGCGGAGCGAGGCGAGGGAGCGTGTCCCGACGGTAATTAATTATTCCTGTACGTCAATATGTTTTAACACGCCGCTGATTGGTCGGTTGCCTGTTTAGAGCCACGAGGTCGGGATGAAAACCCTCGTAATGCTGGACGAGCAAGGCGGTAAGCCACTTCACTCAAGCTTAACATAAACTATATAGACTTATCGCGAAAAGCGCAGAAAGAAAGAGAAATCGACAAACAAGACAGAAAACAGAAAAAAAGAATGCAGAAAGTAGAAACAGTACACAAAAGAAAATATCAGAAAGAAAAGATCTAAAAACTCTGTGCGTGTGTAATCACGCCGGTCCCGGCCGACACAAAGCGACAAAAAACCGACAATATATAAATATATAAATTTTACAGTACAGTTTAGATATATATATATATATACATGTATGTGTGTGTGTGCGTATTGAACACATACGGTGTATGTGCGTCGGATGAGAATAGTACTCGTCCGTTGCTATAAATACCCACGCGAACCCTCTTGCGCCGCGTTAATAAAAATATTTTAGATACTATATAAACAGATACACTCTTCGTTCATTGTCGGTCGTTCAATATCAATAATCAGCCCGCTGCGCTGAGAAAACTCGGCCATTTTGCTGCTCTTTAAAACGATTCGTTATTAACAGCTATTTTTTAACCGCGATTTGCGGGTGCATATGCGAGTACCTTTCTTATTCGCATCCGAAATACGCGGTGGTATCTCGGGAACGAGATGGGCGATAATGTGATATATGTGATACGTGCGACATGCCGTCAATCACGCGCTAACGACCAAAGTGTCATATTTTCCTCGATGTGCGTTCATTCGCCGCGTATTTCGCACGCACCATCGTACAGACAGATCGTCCCCGGAAAGGAATCGGCGGACGGGTGGCAGGACTTTAACTCCGCGAAGCGGTTCATAGTCGATTTCTCCGCGCGCGCTTGCGAAACTTTGCTCTCCTTCCCGTTTAAATTCCAAAGTTTTTCGACTCGAAAGTCCCATCTCGTGCAAGCCCTTGCGACGTCAACGTTTCTTCTTCACGAAATAGCACAATCAGCGGTGATAAATCTCGGAGCGCGGGGCGACAACGCGCTTTTGACGTATGACCGGTGAAATTTGTCCGCTTGCGGGGAAGCTCCGAATGCGGTGAACCGCCGAACGGAAGAAACGAGGCCTCGCTACTCGCGCGCAACTCCTTTTCACGGGACACTTTTGATCGGGATAATTGTGTGTGTGTCCACGTAGCGACACTCATGCGACTCTCACGTGTGCATCGTCGAGACACCGCTGTTTACTTATTACCAAGAGTCAGGGGCGTAGCTTGGGATTTTGCGAAAAAGGGGGTAAAGCGGAGGAGAAAGATGACTTCGCGCAGCAAATTTCCGCGTGAGAGAGTCCGTGAAAAGGCAAACCGAGAAAGAAGCAGCGACTTGTTGAGACGCGGAAGCGTCGTCTCGCTGCTCTTCCTTTACTCGTCCTATCGCTACGCCCCTGTTTTCAAACGATAATCTATCTCTCTCTCTTTTTCTCTCTCTCTCTCTCTCTCTCTCTCTCTCTCTATATATATATATATATATATATATATATATATATATATATATATATATATATATATATATATATATATACTACTCAGCAGCATCCAAAAAGCAGACCATCGTTATATATACCGTTCACTTACATTTCGCCCTCAGCGCTCTCAACGCGGTGTTTTCCGTTTCGGCTAACTCTGACTTCACCGACTCTTCTTCGCGCTTGGGTTCTCTTCCGCCCTTCTTTTCGCCCCTCTTTCTTCGGCTTCTCGGGCTTCGCCACTCTGTCTGCGTAACTACTTTCTCTTCTACACTTGTACTAATACTGTCAGTAACGATACTCTTCTTCCATCCACCCTCTCTCTCTTTCTCTCTCTGTCTCTCTCTCTCTCTCTCTCTCTTTCTCTCTAGCCTTTCGTCACTCTCTTCCGGTTCCCTTCCGGAATATTCCTACATACCCGCTCCTCTTGGTCCCCTTTTCCATTGCAAATCTGAAATTTCCACTCGAACTTCCTCCGCCTTTCCTTTCCCACCCCCGAGGTCCGTTCGCACCGCACGAGTTTTGGAGCAGGAATTGACACGTTGAGGTCGTACCTCTTAATAGTACATATATTTAATTTCGTTTTTATTTTAGAGAGAACTTTTCTCGAACACCGACGTAATTTATTAAAAGGACTAGAATATTTTTTTCAAGATAGCATACGAAAAAATGCAAGTTTCTTTAGCTCTGCAATTGATCAAAGCTCATGAAAATCGGTGAGGGATATTTCCGGCGATTCTCCCGCAAGAGTGATATTCGCAAACTTTAACTTCAGTAAGGACACGCTCTCTGGTTCAAATTATCGGACACAGCCGGTAATAATGAGGTAAACGGTAAAAGTGACGATCAAGGGACAAGAGAGAGATCCGATTCGCGGATGATCGTGTGGCGCGAACGGATCTTTACAGAAAACAGAGGAAAACAAAACAAGCGGACAACAGACGTGATCGAGGCTTCACGAGCACGCGTACAGCACATCCGGCGAAGAATGATCCTAACGGATCCAGTTTTTGCGCGCGTATAAATCGCGTACTCCGACACGCTCTCGCGGCCTTCCGCCGCTTTGCGATTTTGCCTACATCGGTCGGTGAAACGCAGAGGTCGACATATCACGTCGAGACGCGCGAACTGTCCGGATTTTTACAGTCGAGAACGTGTATACTCGTTACGCTTACACCAAATCGGACACCCGATATCGACTCGCGTTACAAAGATATCGCTTACAACACGTACTATTAGTCGAATATGTACTCCTACGCGCGTATATACCATTAGGCAAACTCGCGTTCACTGTATTTACTGGCTAAAACCTACTACACTGCGTGGCACGTGGATACAGGGTGTCCCGGGACTCGTTGTCCCGACGTCGATGTACGATCGTTCGAATTTCGAAAAAGGAATGCCGTAATCGAAATTCTCATTGCGAACATGAGGAAGATGAAGTGATTTGTTGAGAATAATACGCGAGCGAAAGAGTGGAGAGTGATGTACTTTCCCGCTCTCTCTGTTTCGGGACATCCTGTACACTTGGCTGAACTCCACCACCCACTATGAGGAACTCACTGCACATATCCGGTAGGCACATAACAGAGCAACTCACCCCCGATGCAGAAATGTCGAGCAAGGAAACTCTTCGCTTAAACTGCCGCGCTTTCGTTGCACTTTACTCTGTGCGGAGTTCGCGAGCTCCATCGAGCGGATCGCGTGTTTTTCTTTCTACTCTCGCGAAATCCTTACCCTGTCTCCCATCTTGTTCTTTCTTTTTTTTTCTCTCTCTCTCTCTCTCTCTCTCTCTCTCTCTCTGTCTCTTTCTATCTCTTCGTTAATGGCGCTGGAACGTATGATGCATCATTTTCGTATAGTCCTTTTTACTTCGTTTCTGTCCTGTCAAATCTGAATGTCTTACATGAAACGAGTCTCGAGTAACGATTATAAACATGGTTTATAAAGTTGATCAATGTTTCATGTCTTTGATTTTCTACACGGAATATTGTAGTAAAAATTACAGTAAAATTTTAGTAGTTTTGCACATTTGACTTTTTACTACAAAATGATCGTAATTACTTGAATGTTTTTTTATACTTTATATACATATATACTAGATAAGTTATCTAATTTATTATTTCTAGACTGATTTATGCTACAGTTTCAGCATAGTCCAGTTTTGCAGAAAACATTGTAAGAAAAAATATAACTTTGACGTGACTTTTACTACAATACTTTCTCCGTCTATATTGTTTGAACAAATCCCTTGTCCCCGTTACCTGTCACTGATTGCATATTGTGCCGATAGATCGTCGATCCGCTCGATGGACCTCCCGTTGTAGAATATAAAAATTCGAACGCGGCCGTTGAGAAGGCAAAAGGAAAAGGACGCCTTATCGTCGAACATCTGCGTGGAAGTTTGTACGACTCGTCGAACCCGGAAATTTCACTTGATATCGATGGAAAACATTCGTGAGATCGACTCGATTTTTCAATCTTGGAATTTGGAACGCGATAGTTACGCGATCGAACACGAGAACGCGAGAAGGAGATTCGGACGAACGGAAACTCGGGAGAATTGAAAGAGGCGTCCCTTTCCTTGTACGAGCAAGGGTATGAGTTTATCCGCGCTCATTTCCTAAGAAAATAAAATTAGATAGCGAAAGAGGATTGGGCAATGCACTCGCACTTTTGTTCGCCTTTTTTAGTCCGCGGCCGCTTGATTACATTACGTTTGCAGCAAAAATTCCCGGCAAATTCTAAGTCGCTTGAGGCCGCAAACCGAACTTTAACTCTTCGCGGCGTCCGCCTTGTCATCATCGTCTCCCTCGAGGCGTGATTTTAATTTAAATTCTGGAAATTGGTATTTAAAACGTAAAAAAACGTATTTAAACTTAAAAAAAAAAACGAATCATGCGGGAACGAATGTTAAATTACGAGAAGAAAAGTGTATCTAATGGAATAATGGAATGGATGAGAAATATTGGGAGGTCGACGTACAGATCGATCGAGACCACGCGCCGCGAAGAGCCGAAGTCTCTTCCTTTTTTATTTTAGACAAGCTTGATTACCTTGTCACGTAGAAAACACTTGTCGACAAAGTCTGTAGAGACACTTGCCAGAGAAGTCAGATTTAGTTGTTCGCTTTTTTAGAGCGTTCGCTACATTAGACTCCTTATTAGAACTAACGACCTTTCTCGCGTGGTTGCCCTTTCCCCTTGGAGTTCACGCGACTCTCGCGAGTCGTTTCTCGTCATCTGCATTAACGTTGTATTATCCCGTACGACAAAAACAGAACAGCTGGACCGAATCGAGGAGGGCATGGACCAGATTAACGCCGACATGAGAGAGGCTGAGAAGAATCTCACAGGAATGGAGAAGTGCTGTGGGCTCTGCGTTCTGCCTTGTAACAAGTACGAAACGACTATTTCAGCATTTACCTCCCTCTCTGCCTCTCTTTTTCTCTTTCTCTCCTTCCTGCGCGTTTGCATTGCCGCTTCGTCTCTTCACGGAAATTCAAGCAAAAGGAAAGAAAGAACTACCGCGTGTAAAGAAGATCAGGGCAAGTTCGAACGTTGGGGCACGTTGCGTTTCATTTGCGTATTTATTGTGTAGGAAGCAGGGACAAGGAAACCGCTAAATGCTTCTTTTAGAACTCAAGTCAGAATTTTGATCTTACTTTTGACTTTAATATTTCACTTAACATTTCTTTTGATTCTATTTAATCTATTAGCTTCGCCTACGCCTAGAGAATCTATAATTGGCACTTTGTGCATTTTCTGTTATTTAGAGACGCTAAGTAAAACTTCAGTTTCCATGTATATCAAACGTACACTGATACTTCAGAACTAAGATATTGACTTAGGCACACAGATAAGAGAGAGTTGCCGAAATCGCACCGGTTTTTTAAATTGTACCTACTTTAATCTGAATTTTATCAAAATTTCGGAAAGCCCGCAGACTTGCCCTGGATCTTTGTTACTTCACGAGCTACAGATTCCACGACTTTTCCGCAATGTATATCGACGTCAAGCACGGCCGTCGAGACTCGCTGAGATAACAGTCTTTTAATCGCGTCGCTCGCCGACGATCTTGCTCACGACAGGAGCGCCAGCTTCAAGGAGGACGAAGGCACGTGGAAGGGCAACGACGACGGCAAGGTCGTAAACAATCAGCCGCAGCGGGTAATGGACGACCGCAACGGGATCGGGCCGCAGAGCGGCTACATCGCCAAGATCACAAACGACGCGCGCGAGACCGAGATGGAGGAGAACATGGGCCAGGTGAACACGATGATCGGTAACCTGAGGAACATGGCGATCGACATGGGCAGCGAACTTGAGAACCAGAACCGGCAGATCGACAGGATCAATCGCAAGGTGAGTGCGCCCCTGAAGTTGCTCCTACGGGTTTGTGACGCTACACCGTCGCCGGGTATAGACTTGGCATGGCATCTAATCATTACCCGCGTGCGGGATTTTACTTGACACGCTCGCTACCACGTTATGCGTGCTTCTTCACCGTGGATACGCATATTCCTGCTTAAAAATTCAATAAGGAGATTTTTATAGAAATATATATAAATTACATTCAAAGAACTTCAATTCTCCCATTAAAGAAACAATTTTTCAGGCATTTTTTTTCTCATAATCGATGATAAATATTTTTTTTATATACTTGCCTTTCTATATAATTTTGTCATTTTTTTACCAAAAATACGGTTCAATTGCATACATTTTTCTTATCCAATTCTATAAAATCTTTTAAGCAGAAACAATCCTCGTCGTATACGCGTGTGTGAGTGCGTACGTGTGTAGGTATGTATGTGTGAGTGGGATAGCGATCTCTATTTTTTTCTTTCTCATTCTACGTCCGCCACGCAAACGCCGACCATGTTTAACGCGTTGTCGCATAAAATAAAAAAGAAAGAAAAAAGTGAAAACAGGGTGCTTCGTGGCGGACGGTTTCCCAGTTGAACGGTGGTAGCGATCGTGTTAACGGGATGAGCTGACACGTGTCTCGTCTATTATGCGCGAATCTCTATGTCACAATGCACAATGGCTCAGAGCGATGCACATCACATTCGTCGTCGCTTTCGCTTTCTTACGTGTCCTTTCCTCTCTTCCTTCCTTCCTTCCTTCCTCTCTCTCTTCTTTCCTTCTTTCTTCGCATCCGTTATCCATGTCATCCATCCTGTCATCCATCCGCCAATCCATATCCATTCTCTCTTTCTTGTGTTGCTCCTGCTCCTCCACATGCGATTCCAATTCGAGCGGATGTCCTGATGACGCGCGCCGTCGTCCACCACGCGTCTTCCCTCACCTAAGGATAAGGGATCTGAAAAGCAGCCCAGCAACGCAACATGCACTGTGATCCAAGGAAGCCTTTCGATTTCGAAAATTGCATGCGTACCGCACGTGCATCGCACGATTAGCCGCCGTACTCTCCGTCCTATCCTCTCGTCCTTCTCTATGGCACCTTGTCGATATCGTCCGCGGGCACACTCGTGCTATTATTCTTCAGCTACCTTCTCTCGGCACAGCCTGCCTTCTCTGTGTTCTTACGCAATTACTGCACCACCCATGCGCGTCTGATCACGCTTCGGACTTTTGCCTCTCTTACTTTTTCTCTTTCTATCTCTTCTTTCTTTTCCACGAGATTCTTTCGTAAGGATTATAGTAGTTTTCACGGATTCTCAACGTCATGGAAAAAGAAAAAAAAGAGGGACAAGAATAGAATATCGCTACATTGCCGGGAAAAACAGAAAACACTTTTGTTTGCAGAATTAACGCGAAGATAAAGAGACAAAAAACTTTTGTAAATACGTCGAGAAATCGACAAAATCCGCAATTTAATCTATTTAATTATTGGATTTAATGGGTTTAGCAACAGTATTTTATTGTTTTTATTATATTATTTAATGTTTTGTGGTTTTAATAAATAAAGAAATAAGAGACGATAACTTTTTCATTAACTTAACTTTTGTCATTCAGGCGCGCGCAGTTTAAGGGTTCTTTTTATATATATTCATTTATTTTTCGAAAGATAGTCGAGAATCCTTGTAGTATCACTTTTGAATTTTTACCATATTCCTTTTGTAGTAGGTCCTAGACAAAGACAAAATGAAAAGGCGGGTTTCTCCGGGTGCAAAGCGCTCTTCAAACGATCAATATGCATTTACACACTTTGACGAGATAATATTTCAATATAATTATCCGTCACAACTTATTGCAAATTCTTCCCTATTACTGCTATTGTCGCTTATCGATCTCACTTCTCACACAGCGTTCATTTACCGTGTGTATAATACTTATGGCGTTTGCATTAACCTGGATTAGGCGCACAGTCAATAATCGATATTCGATGCATCAATATTTAACCCTGCCACCTTTAATATTTATTAAGACTAAATTTATATCGGTGGTTTCCGTCGACCTATTTCCTCTGGTCTTTACTTCTTCCTCTACTTCGCTTTTCTTGTCGACGAGATTCTTCTTTCCTTCGTATGTCCAACACTATTGTAGGCACTTGTCCGTCGGGATCTTTCTCATTGACAATATCTGCCCCACGATGACATTACCAATATCGACGCATCGACAATAAATATTGATCGTTCGGGGAACGTGAACCTATTAAAGACCATATTTGGAAAATTCGAAAGATACAATTTTCGAGAAAAAAAATTATAAAGCGTGTCCTCCACGTGCTTAAGTATAGCCTTTCGCGAATTAAAGACATATTTAATGCCCCAGCATGAAGTTGAATTTTAAATGTTTTTATGTAATCATTTTCGCGGTGTAATTTGGTGCAATAGAAAAGTTTGCAGTGAGCAGTAAAATAATTATGGTCTTTGATGGGATGTCGCACAGCAAGTAGGATGCACAATCTCTGGCTGCCCGCAGTTAATCTCCTAAAAAGTTATAATCTTGTCTGCGGGACTAGAACGGAGAAGAAGAGCAGGATAAAACCTCAAATTGGATACTAAATTTTTAATTCGGTCTCTTCGTATTCTCTACATTTCTTTTCCGGCGAAATTCTATCGGAAAAGCGGAATGACAACCGAGTCACTGGAATTCTCGAGTAACTCTTCCCTCGGATAGAGTGTACGTGCCGTAGCAGATGGATAGTCTTCCTCCAAGACTACCGACGAAAATCAGTTTAGTCCTCGCAAATACGTGATCGTATTGTGTTACATAACCGTACGGATATGTGTTACGTATCCGTTATTGATCACACTGTGTGTAGTGTCAACGAACGAACGGTCCTTCGTAAGCAAGCGAAATCCGTCGCAGCCGCACAACAAACTGAGTTATCACGTAATGTTGAGAGGATTAAATCACTCTCACCCTCACCCGACGAGACTTCAGCCGCGAGATTGTGCATCCGGTGAAACTTAAGCCGCACCAGACAAACACGCACACATAGACAAACAGATTACGCACGCACGCACGCACGCACGCACACACACACACACACACACACACACACACACACACACACACACACACACACCTTCTGTGACCGAAACCCAAACTGATAATCCGCAGGGCGAGTCGAATGAATCGAGGATAGCCGCGGCGAACCAACGTGCGCACGCCCTGCTCAAGTAAAATGCGTCTTCTTCTCTCTGTCCGCGTATCCGTCTCCTCCGAGCCCCAAGTTGCATATCACAAAGATGCGTCTCGAAAAAAAAAAAAAGAAATCGCAGAGAAAAAGATTATACGTATGTGTGTATTATACATATATAAAGACCTGATCACACAGAATCGGGGGCTGGGACTGTTCGATGAATTCTCGCGCGCTTGGCAATTATAGAGCGACAAATTAACTCATTTGAATAAAATTATTTGAGTTAAATTATCCTGTCGAATTATATATCGAGTGAGTTAAGCGTGACAATCGAATATCACGCGCGGATGCATCGAATTTCACGTATTACACTTATTAATATATCCGACTATGATATCGAGTTGCGAGAAAATGTAATTGCTGGACACGTATATAATTATACGTATTCGAATGTGATGATTGTGTTTAATCGTTAATGAATCACTCGCGAGTATCGATTCGCTCGGACATTCCCAGCTCGGCGAATGATGATCATCCCAGCCCATCCTCTTCTCTAACCCGTCTTCTCGTCGTCGCTGCGGCACCAAGACCCGCGTGTTGTCTCCAACACCTGATCCAACATACCTAAGCAACGACGCCACCGATAACCACTTATACCACCACCACTATCACCGCCACCGCCACCATCACCACCACCACCACTGTCACCACCAGCATCACCACCACTACCACCAAACTTTCCAATATACGACGATATACAATGAATAACCGCTCGTCAGGGCATACCGTGCTTTTTGGGGAAAGCAAGCGATAACGGGACGGAATTTTAAAACCCAAATTGCGGGTTTCGAGGTGAACGAGCCAACGACAGTTCACAACGGCCACTCATCATCTGATTACCGATGGTTTCGCGTCCTTTTCTCGTTTTTTCATTCATTCTGGTGACATTTAAATAAAGGGGGACGCTAACGAACACTGTGAAGTGTTCAATCTGATTCAGACGATTTCTCACATCGTCTCGATCGTGCTCTCGAAATGGAGATACCGTCTCGGAGAAGGAGCACGGTGTGCCATGATACAGCACGAGCGGTAGAGTGCATCGCACTGAGATATGTATCACCACTCCGCGTCACCACATTGGTTGCGAAATGCGGCCAGGGTTGGGTAGTAATGCGTTACTTGTAACGCCGTTGCTTTTACAAGTTACTTTCCTTTGGTGACGACTTGGCAACTGTGTTATTCTTCTCGTTCAGTGATAGAATTAATTTTTTGTCAATTTAAATTTACATTTTTTGAGGTCTTCAAAACTTGGCAAAAGAATAAAAAATCACAAAAACTACGACTCATTACTTGTTAAGTAAATATAACGAATAGCTTTCGAAATGAATAACACAGTAACCAATGATATTTTTCAATGTATAACGAGTAACGTTAATGAGTTACATTGAGAAAGTAACTTTCCCAATGCTGGAAATGCCCACGTCCACGTATCGTTCTCATGTTGTGATTGTGTCACAAACCGCGCTCGTCGTCCAGCCTATATTCTGCTGTCTTTAATGGCGACGACGACGACGACGAAGTGTCTCTTGTCGACGACCCTTTGAGCCTATGGAACCGTTTCGCTCCGATGCACCCGGGATCGATCGGGTTAACGCGTTTGACACGAAGTGGACCGCGAGTAGCTTGCGAATTTCTCTCTGCGAACATTCGCGTGAGTTCGTATCGATCTTTACCTTACGCAGGATCGATCGATAGCAGCCGCCTTTTCATTCGGAGATATACCTTGTTTTGTCGGCACATTGATGCCGCGTTAATTTCCGTCGATTATATAAAAATTTGTTGATAACTTAATTACCAAAGATACAGCAAATTAATATAATCAGAAACGCATATATCTTTTATTTCGCTTCACTGGCTCTTTATTGGCAACGAAAAGTCGATTTTTTATGTGCAGTTAATTAATTAATATTTTGTAAATAACTTATTAAACGCGACAATATCAAGTGTTCAAGCTCACCGGTGACCATCACAGTATTCAACGTGTTAACTGGCGACAATTGGATCGAACGGTTCCACGGGAAAGAAGAGTAAGAACCTCCGTCGCTTAATTTTCATTGTTTGTATATACACTAACCGACGAAATTACCTAATTATATGTACCTATATTTATCACGTAGGGCTGGAAAGTGACGTGTTACTTGTTACCGTTATAAATTACTTCTCTTCGGCGACTTGATAAAACGGTAGTAATTTCCTTTTTCATTAACTTGACCGTTAACTTGAAAAAGTAATTTTTTCAACCCGTGATCACAACTGTAACTTCATGCTTCGTGTGTATTCATTTATTTATTAACATCATCAACATACATCCTTCACGTAGTGTTTTAACTCATCGTCACTACGGTGCGTGTCCTCGCGAGCTGTATTGCTGCAAAGAAATCGTTACCAGCTTGTGAAACTTTTCATAAGCTGACAACGATGTCGATATGTGTAACGAAGTCTTCGTCAGTGTTGAGCATTAATCGATTAGAATTTTGCCTAAAATAATCGACAAACCAATAAAGTGAATCAATCGTTATATGCGCGTAATCACGAATAATAATCAATTATGATCGATAATTATAATCGATTGAGGAAATTCATTATTAATCAGTACATAATCAATTACATCAAAGTTTCATCGGTCGATAAAATTATTTATGATTTTATATATTAGGAATGATTAATTTCGATTATCGTTTTTACGATTATTTTAGCGAATGAAAATTTTAATTGACACGGAAAAAATAATTTGATTGGACCAAATTTCTAGTAAAATATAAACGACTCAGAAATCCTAATTAAAACTATCAGAATTCAGTTTAAATCATCAGGATTTCTGGTTAACGTAAACAGGACTCTGGTAACTTCAACCGGGATTTCTGGATCACATTGACACTAGAAATTTTGTTAATTCAAAGATTTTCTCTGTGGATTAATGCCCAATACTATTATACCCAATTTCCGCTCGTTTAACTCATCCGGCACCTCATCTTTCACCTTACATCTTGCTACTTCTGGCCTTTGATGAATTAGCCCGTTTGAAAATTCGTCCGCGCAAGATCCGAGCGTGAGGATCTGACGTGCGCGTGACACTCGTGTGTCTCGATACACGATCCTCGTTTTCACCAACAACCGCAACGACTGTCGCCGTCGTCGAACGGATTCCCCGCCGAATCCGACTATTTGCCGCAGCTCGCTTTCATACGACATTGCGTTCTTTTGTTTCTTTGTTTTCTCTGACACGCAGGGTGAATCAAACGAGTCGAGGATACAGGTGGCCAACGAGCGGGCCCATCAGCTACTCAAGTAAGGCCACACTCTCTCGACCACCCCCGCACCCCGTCGGCCGCTACGAGCGTCACTACCATCACCCTCCACCGTCACCACCACCGCCACAACCACCACCATCACCACAACAACAGAAATAGTAACAACAACACATCACAGCAGCAACAACGACTACAACAATACCGACACCAACAACAACCAGTACAGTTACACTCAACAGCGTATACCACACCCGCCGATTGTTTGCTCGTAATTCATCTTGCTCGCGTTATCTTCGTTGAGCTCGCTCTTGCGTCATTCACGTTTGAACGTTCAACATCAAACAGCTCGTCGGAAGGTCCCAGGCTCGTCAACGTTTCCGAAACAGTCAGCCCTAAACTTGACAGCGTGGCATCCTGGCATCCATCAGATGCGTGTCGTGCGCGGCCTGACCGCGTCTCGTCGGTCAGGCTGGCTGCAATCCTTTATGTAGATTGCATTTATACGCACCTAAATCTGCAAACGTCATTCGGGACTTTGTGATTTTCCCGAGTTAATATCGTGATTATTATAATCCGTCTTGTGCAAACGATACAACTCAGAAAATTCGCGTAGAGAAAAGAAAGGGAAATTAAACAACTTGTCACATTGCAGCAGGCTTCTATAGTTTTGCTTCTTTCACTTTATACATCGTAACGTAATCTCGAGTGCACTCCCTTGGAATCCTTTGTCAAGTTTAGGGTTAACTTGCTGAAGAAGGATCGCGCGAGTTGCTACCATTCTACCTATCAGTCGGAGATTAAATTTAATTGCTACTTCGCGATTGATTCCTTGTTGTTCATCCGACGGAATCTCGTCGGATTATCCGTCGACTTACGGAATTTATTTGACTGACTCGACTTTCAACATCGAACTGAACTCTGGTCCTTTTTCTTTTCTCTAATTCGAACGTTAATGTCGTCGAGTCGCTCTGTCGCGAAACTGGAATGAAATTTAATCTCCGAAATAGGCTCCTTATTTCTACGACAGTGATCAGCCTCCGTGCCGATGAAGCCTCGAATATTTCAACGTCGGTTAATCCGCGACTAAAGCTGGATCAAAAATAGTAAAATATTAGGAGCTTCGATCACATACTCGAATCACAACGAAGTGCCGATGGAATTTCTAGCCAGGCGAGAAGAGTTGTTAGTCGAGATCGAGTCCAAGTCCAGTCGGTGACTTGTTAAAAACAGTTTCATTTTCTCGACATACGAGAAAAAAAAAGTTATTCAGCTGTGAAACTTAAATGAAAGAAAGGGAAGAAATAGGAAATATATATATATATATATATATATATATATATATATATATGTATACATCTTGTTATATACATGTAGTCACTGGAGATTAAATGCACCGACAGTGCATAGATGAATAATTTAATCCTCGGTTTAATCGATTTTGGAGATTGATGGGGTATATTGCTTGGTGAAATACAAGAGGAACAAGTTCACAGTACAAACATTACCACATTTGTCTAACCCTTTAGTGAAACGATTATTCCGATTTTCTCTCGTGCAAGTTTCCTTTATCGTTTTATTGAAATATTATCACACGCGCATACAATATACACACACGTACACATAAAATGAAAACAATTCCGAGACAACTATACCTAACTACACAGCGACGGGCGACATAATCTATGAACGAAAAGCGACACTGATCCCTCCTCCCTGCGATCCTTGAATGTGAGTTCTCTTACCCTTCTCCTAGCGGAAAGGGAGCCTCATTATTCTTCCCCCATGCAAAAGAAAATTACACACATCCCCGTCGATCTCGATTGAGATACTCGATCATTGAGTATTTCATGAATATCTACCCCGGGTATATCCCGCCTACCTGGATCCGCCGTGTGCCACAAGCACGCAGAGAAAAAGAAAGAGAGAGAAAGAGAGAGAGAGAGAGGTCGGCGACATCCTTGGAGGAGGAAGGGAGTGGAATTATTCGAAGGACGAAGGAGCAAGAACGACGAGGAGGAAGTGAAGAGGAAGAGAAGAACGAAGAAGAAGAAGAGAAGAAATATATATATATATATATATATATATATATATATATATATATATATATATATGTATGTATGTATGTATGTCGAAGTATCCGAAGCAACGAAGTGAACGCGTTCAGCCATGATTAAGAGTCGCTGAAGCTGTAGATAGAGCGAGGTCTTCTTTTCGTCGTTTTAAAAACTCGACTCACACAAACAAACAACGTAGAGCGTAGGTGTTATCCCCCTGCCCTGTTATTCCCTTGCTCTCCCCTCTTTAACCTAGCCCCGTTATTCCCTTTTTGCGCCAATCGCGCCGAGATCACAGTAAGGTTTAACTCCAAAGAAAGATTGTACATTACTGTATTTACACGAGGACGACATGCATACCTTGTTAAATCGTACGAAGCAGAACGGAAGAGATAGACACAGAGAGCCGATAGAGGAAGAGGAGGAGGAGGAGGAAGGAGAACAGGAGGTGGAGGAGAAGAGGGAGGTGGTCTGTCGCGAGTTCAAGAATCGATACTCTCATGGATACTCTCAGCGATGCAATCCTCGACGATCCTGAGGACGATCGTGATGGTGTCCATGATGTAGGCGCTCTTATCGTAGAAAACCAAAGTACATTGGTGACTGTCTCGCAATATATAGCGGATATTCTTGTTATTATTCGACAATTACGGGGTAATAATATCTAGATGAGAGTTCTCTCCTCTTCTCCTCCCTCTTCGATGATTATTGCCACTGTAAAGTCAAGACAGAATATGTCTTATTGCATGCCCGTTCTTTTATCGTTTTTATCAGGATCCTCGCGTGCAGTCGTCGTACAGATGCGACCTTATCCTTTTTAGCGCACTGTACTCTAGAAATTTAGGACGTTTGTTATCACACGATAACGTGGCTGTTAACACGATTGTTAGCCAATGCGCGGGCGCCTTTGATGACGCCTTTGTTTGTTTTTTCTTTTCTTTTTTTACAAAACTTTTGAGAAACGGGTATATAACCGAGGTGAACAGAAACAACTAAAACGTGTCAGTCTCGAGCGGCGCGCCCGGTAAGGATTGCACAGAATAGAACGCGTAGCCTTTTCGATTTCGCTTGTCCTTCGCTTTCTCTCGGAGAGGGAAAACAGGTGCCCTTTGGACGATGCTTCGCCGGACGAACGTGCTCTAAGAGGAGTGAGTCTGTGAGAGTTTTAATGAGAGAGAGAGAGAGAGAGAAAGGGGAAAAAGTAAAACCCGAGTGTGTATGAGAGGGAGAGATTGCGCGCGAAAATCATGTGCTACAACGCGAAATCATTAGGCCTATAGTGATCATTTACACGTCGAGAGAAATTTTAAATAATTATAAATAGATATGTACACACACACACACACACACACACACACACACACACACACACACACACACAGAATGTTGTTTCATTTTCGCAGCATTGTTTTTTAACGACAGACTTCGGGTTTTATTCTGGAGTCAATTTTTCCCGCGATGAGAATGACGAGTTGTTAAGTTACCGCAAATAATCAAGTTCAAAAAATATATGACATCGCGGAGAGATCGTACTGTTTTTTTTTTCCACTGATTTTAAGATTTACTTTTTGTATAATATGAAAATTTAGTGAATGCTTTCGTGACGCTTTCATTGAACAAATATTGATTTCAAATTGGCCGAGTGAATTTCTCGTTGGGAAATAATGCGACGGAAACGGAACAACCGGTACACAAATTATTTATTTGCATATATATACATATATACATACACACATATATATATGCATATGTATGCATATATACACATAGCCGTGTAGGGAGCGAACGCGGTGAGCTCTTTCTTAAAATAGCTCCTGATAGAGAGTCGCAAAAAGCTATTCTAATCGCGCGAGAGTGGAGTATATTATATATAATATACATATTATATATACATATAAATAAACGAGTAAATAGATATATATATATGATTATATATATATATACATATAAATATATAAATATAATACGGGATCGAGCAATATTATACTTGTTACTTCGTCGTTACTGTTTATCACCGCCTATTGCCCTTATAGAAATATCATACTAAGAATCATTGATAATTACTTATTTTCAGTATTAAAAATACTGGATAATAAGTAATTATCAATGATTCTTAGTATGATATTTCTATAAGGGTACGAGACTACGTACTTATTTTACAAGTATTATCTTTCCCTCCCCTCTCGCCCTACCTTGCGGACCTTGTTCCCTTATCCAAACTTCTTGAGTCATATCGAATCTACAGGTCTATGTGGTACGCGTATGTTTCAAACACATAAAGATAATGTATAGACACGCAATTAGATAGATAGATCAGTAGAGATGATTAAAACGGAAAAGGAAAAAAAAGAAGGATGAGGTAAGAAAGAATGCATATAAGTGTGCGTGGGAGAGAGCGACAGAGGGATTGTGTGAACGAGAGAATAATAAGATTGACGAAAATAATGTAAGGGATGAAAAGTGGACGAAGGAATAGAAGAAGACCGAATTAAGAAAAAAGCCGTGCTCTTCGTAAATGTACAGTATGTCTTTGCAGAACTGCTTGATAACTTTGGTTCTTATTAATTGAATTCGTTTTCAAATTAAAAAAACGGATGATTTCTGTGGAGCTGGCGGTACATTCGACAGATTCGCAGACATCCTGTACACAAATATGGAAAATATGGAACAATTCCATATCTCCTAAGCCACAAATTGTAGCTCAACACAATTAACCGCATCGCGGAGTTAACCTTTGTGTTAGCGGAGATCGGAAAAGTCTAACGGAACTGTCAGCGATGTGATATGTGGCCTCAATTTGCAAATAGGAGCGTCAAATTTTCATGTGCCAGAAATCGACGAGATGGAACGGGACGAATCGAAAATACAAGTTCACAATTGTACACACTTATTGTCGCGACGCGTTTAAATTTATGAAAATTTATGAAAAAAGGAGATACCAATATTCTCTTCTAAATTAATTTGTTTCTCAACGCTCGACATTGACGACTCCGAGACTTATGAGCCAGGCTCGCGTGCCTTTCTCCGCCAACGTCCACTTTTGATTCTTGAACTTATGTAGAACTTATAAAGCAGCGATTGATCCTAATCGTCGACCGATTTGTCGGTCGAACCATCGGAACTCGTTTCATCGATCGATTCTCTACCTCGGGAAAACGTGCGGAGGTGTGCGGCGAGCCACCTCTCCGTGTAACCTACTGCGAAGTCGAGTGCGAGAACACAAATATACTTGGGACCACCGTGCAGACGTGCAAGGTGTCGTGGACCGCAATCTTCGAGGCACTCGAGGCAATCCCAAATAGAAAGGCGAGGATAAAATTTTGACGAAGAGACGAGAACGGCGCATGGGAGAGCATTTGTAAATTGTAAAGTTTATCGATAAGCAGGAGAAAAACGAGACGAGACCAGCTTCTCTCTTTTTAGTACCGATGATATAATGTCGCTAGATGTACTTATGATACCGTCGTAAAAGAAATTTCTCCTCGACAGTACCATTATAACAAAAATGCCTGTGTATTTTACTTCTTGGCGAATAATAAACCATCAAGTATTGTATGTCATTACATTTCTTTCCCCCCATTCGTTGTGAATCCTTCATCTCAAGTCCAGGCAGCTGATAATTATTGGAAATTATTTTAGACAGAATGTTAATATGTAAATTGAGAATTTATTTTGGAATCGTGCTGTAAACAAATCTGTAATATAAAACGTACAGACACGTTTAAAGTTTTGACAGTTTATAGATAACTAGCACAATAAAAATACCATGGAAATTACAAATATTCTTAAATAATAGCATCTGATATAAACATAATGTAATTAGTAAGATCTCAACCTAAATGATCTTCTTTTATGTCGAAAGTAGCGTTTATTATAGCCAAAGCACAATGTTGGAATCATAAGAAACAAAAAATCGTAACTACCCCTCCAAACCAGATAGAGATAATCGCATATAAAGTTTTCAACTATATACTGACCATGTAAACTCGAAACAATCTTATTTCTCTCTTTTTACCAAAATTATATCAAATTTTTTAGTTTTCCAGTTTCTCAATGTTTGCCAGCTTGGAAACCTTCTTCAACAAATGCGCCAAGTGGGTCTTGTAATTTAGCGGAGAAACTGAGATACAAGTATGCCTCAGTCTCATCTCATCCTGAAATAACGTGGAAAATTGTTAAAACTGGGAAGTTTTAAGTACGACAGGTTTATGTGAAGCTACGAAGAAAATTTACAGCTGTGCAAGTGGTTCCTATAAAGATAATAAAATACACTGTAGAATCAGTTACCTGGAAAACTTCCGATTTCACTCTCACACCAAATGTAAACCTCTTGAAGCTCGCATCGCCGAATTTTTGCATATAGGCGTCGTTATCGTTCTCCTTTAATTCGCCCAATTCCTGCGCCGACATACCTAAGATTTTCTCAGCGTCTTCGTTGAAAGCAGTTATCCAACGACTGCCTGTAGCATCCGCTATATTCATCTGGACAAATCGTTACAATATAATGAATAAAACACATTTATAGATTTGCGAACGACGAAGAAGAATGAGAAAATTTTACACGTACCATAGCTAGTAGACGATACACGAAGTTTGGGTAATCCTTATTACACTTCTCACATTTAAATACTCCTGTGGATTGATCGACGAGCTGAAATTGCATCGAACAAACGAAATGTTACTTGCTTCTCTTGCGCCAATTATTTGTAACTCACCTTCTTCTTGCAACTCTCTAAGGGGCACGCTTTGTAAATAGAGTTTTCCACGCGAATCATATTAATGGTGGCCATCACCGAGAATACATCCGCGGCATCAATTTTCTCGCCCAGCTTCGCATCGGTCGCTTCCTGGAAGGTATACAACGGCGCGTTGATATCGCCGCCACCGCCGCCACCGCCCGTTCTAGACAACGACTTGACATTTTCCAAGTGGCCGCCTGCGGTATACCACCCGCGTAATCTGAAATATACATTGCGCATGTAAAACAACAAAATATACAGTCCAAACCTCTGTTATTATGTTACTGCCAGAATTGAGCCAGAATAAAGGTAAATCAAGCGAAAGTAACACGTTATTTCCTAACGGTGCTATTATTACTCCTATGCGAGTTAAATACACGTTGCGACGATTTATACAAACGAAGGATATTAAAATTTGTTACACAGAATTTTATTATACTTATGCGCTTCCGGAAAGTCTGGATCCTTTTCGATGATACTTGTAATCCCGACAGACAAGTTCTTCCCGCCATTAAACTCGCCAACACGTGCCGATTTAATAGCCATAATCGGATTATTTGAACCATCAAAATCTTCAGCTTGTTTTCCCCACAATGTAACTGACACCTGATGCAAAGGAATAGTGATTTTATACATATATATAATATAGCGTCGACAAATTGCTTACCGTTGTACCGCTATTGTCGACAATATGAATGTCCCTTTTTATATGTTCTTTGCCAGTTTTTTGCGACACGATATGTTGCAAGTCACCAAACGTTGTAACAACACCCAGAACATCTGCGGCCAGCGTGAAAAATATTATTTTAATTTGTCAACTCAATATTGTTTATTTGTTGCTTGTTATAGATCTTAAAATGCTAATGCAAAAAATTGGAAAACAGATTGTCTCTCTTTCTAGATTAAGTTTTCAACTAATATCACATTACCAATTATCTCGTCTTTATTCATAGTTTCCAACTGACTTATAGGTGAAAAATTGAACTGCAGCGTTGGTATATCCTCGGTGTTCTCGTGACATAGCACGACCTCTGTATCGTTAGTCATAGTCATTTCAAAATCGTTCTTCATAGTGTTAAATTGCTTATTTGCTGGTTTCAATGAGCAACGTGAAATATAGTAGACATTCCCAGGCTATGTGAAAAAGCAAAACGTTCAGTTATTTTCAATTTTTCATAGAGAAAAATGCTAATGTAAAGCTCACTGATTTATCAGACAAAATAGCGCAACAGGCGTACTTCTATCATATCATAGAACTTGTCGCACGCATTATTGAATGCAGTGCACCTAATTTCGCCGCTCTCGTCGACCAATTCTATAGTGAACAATTTGCCATCACCGCGGGAATTGCTCCATGTTCTGATCTGAGATTTAGTCAACACACGAACCTTAATCACCCATCTAAATAAAATTAACTATCATTATACATAGAAAACTCATTATTAAATATATAACATTTAAAAGAAAAATAGCAACAAACCACCAAAATTAACAATATTAATATAGTTATTCTACTTATATCTATATAGATGCATTTTACATAGAAGTCTCACTTGTTTTGATAAGGACTTAATGCTGCAATTGGTGTAGTAGATATTTCAGAAGAGGAATTATGAGCACTTGAAGTGTTCTTCTGTGCGGTACCATCTATTAAAGACAGAAACAAATTGTATTCAAAATATCATAAAATATATAAATACTATATATATATAAATATCATGTGTCATATGAATAAAGATTCCTTCATTTTAAGTAAAAACGCATCGATTGAGCCTTCTTTTATCAAAATCGGAGGTGAAGTAGCTCTTCTGAACAATTACCCATATATATATATATATATATATATATATATACATATACAAAATGAATTCTAAATGTATAATTAGTATGAATATTTACTATGTTGATATGCAGCTGTAGATGTATTAGGTTTGGTGGTTTCAACCTCTGGTTTGCTCATATTAGTTGGATTTCCTATCTTACGTCCAACTTTGTTGCCAGGAGCTATTACTTCGATATCCAAAATTATTATTACACGCCTAATAAATTGACAGAACTTAATTTATATACTAAAACTGTGCTTATATATGTTTTAAAATAAAATATGAAAAGATAAGTACTTCTCCTTGCCACTGTTGTTCACTGAACTCAAAGCATACTTTGATATTTCACAGATTGTATATTCAGTTAAAACATTATCTGTAATCAAGTAATTTAACTGGGTAGCCAACATGGTAAATGAGTTTGCTCTCAGCCCATCAGATACGAGTAACCTGTACCGCTCAGAATTAGAACTGGTCAGCTTTTTGTGACCCTGCAAAATACAATCAAAATTTATAATTTCTGCAAACACACATTTTAAATAAACTTCAAGTATTGCGCTTGCAATGTTCTCCGGTCGAGAAACAGAATCAAATGCTGTCAAACTGTCGAAAAAAAGATGTCGCAGTACTTACCAATACTTGAATCACCGGTTTCTCGATATCTATACCGTTCATAATTTTCTAAAACAAAAGATGGACATGTTGAACAATATAATATAATATGCTTTCGATAAACTTACATCCAATGCTCCTTCGGTCAGTTTGTACATGATTAGGAATTCTGTTAACACTGTTTATTCTTTACAACACTTTACTACGGAATCTTCCCGCCGAATGATTACATGAAGCTTACGTGTTCCGCAAAGAATCCTCTCACGATGTCTCTTTTATTGACACATGCGTCATAGCAGAGAAAAACATGAGAGCGACCACCAGCCTGATTTTAGTGGCCAAAGTTATGGCTCCTACACACAGAACGCGTAATCCTTGCCGCGCGGCAAGCATTCCCGCGTCCTGTGTGTAGGAGCCATAAAAGCTAGAAGGTTATTACGGAAAGCAGCATATTGATTGGCTATCGCGCGAACTTCCGCCTCACGGCAAGCATTACCGCGTCCTGTGTGCAGGAACCATAACCCAGCCGAACATGCAATCACAAATAAAATCTAGGGGTCGATTGTGTATTTTAAAACAAAGTGAAAATTACAAAAGTGAGCAAATTCATTAGGCATTGACCAATGGAGTTACAAATATTCTAGTAAATTTGCTCACTTGTCATTTTCACCCCATTTTGAGATACACAATCGACCCCCTGAGTAATTTCGGTCTTTTCGCCGGCTTCCGGTAAACGGAGCTACTGTCGCATACCGGAAGCATATCGTGACTGAGAGGACGCCTCGGTGCAATCCACCATTCCAATTTTCTCGTTCATCTCGGACCTCATTTCGTCACACCGGTTTTTCTGACTTTCATCATATACTTCGTCGTCTGATATTCTTAGGCAATATGAATGGCATCATCAAGAACGCGCTACGCGCCTCGACTCTTCGTGTGCTGTCGTCAACATCATCGTCGTCCAGTGGTGTCGGAATGGCACGCGGTCGACCCGCCCGAGCGTTATGGAACATGTGCGCGGACCGGCAATGTTCTGAACCCGCACCTACTACCTCCTTGCTAAAACTGCACGACAATTTTCATCCCCGAAGATACTACAGCAAGTCACATACCAAAGGTATTGATTTGCTGTTATCTCTCACGCGAATATTTGCGAATATTCGCGAGGTAAATGTTTACTTATTTATTCATACATTGTCGATATGATAAATAAAATCATATCAGTTGTCTTTACTCTCTTTACATTTGTCGTGTCACAAAGAGATTTTTATGAATATTAAATAAAGTATGAGTATTGCTTAAAAGCATCAAAGTTCTGGCATTAGGTTTGTTCTTTTTCAGTTTAACTAGATTGTATTTTTGCTTTTGAAGTGAAGCTTTATTTATTTATTTATTTATTAAGACTGTAACCGTTAACTTATGCTGTAATCCATAAAAAATTAACCAATTGTAATCGATTATTACAAGAATAGTCAACTGCAATTGTTCCATTTCTTATATATTACAGCATAAGTTAACAGTTACGGCTTCTATAAATGGGCCTTTATCTAATATTGAAGGAAAAGGAAACAGGAAGTTTTCTAGTGCAGCACTAGTTTAACTAAAAAAGAATAGGCCTATAATCTTTGTATTGTTAAATATATAGTCTTGAATTATATTTTTTTATTAATCAGTTATATTATTCCTTTATTAGCGGAGAAAGAACTGGTAGAGTTTTTGGCAGAAGAGATAGTAGCAGAGAAGAAGGCACAAAAATTAAAGACTATACCCACAAAATTAGATGATTTTATAGTGTCTCTTAATGGTGCAGAGGTTAAACTTGAGAAAAAGGATGGTTTTGATACGTAAGCCAAGTTTTGAGATTTGATACACGTCTTAAGTTTAAGATATTGATTTGTAGCATCTGATATCTTTTCCAGCATTCATATTTCCTTCAATGTGAACCATACTGTAGATGCAGATACTGAAGCTGAAGTAGATCCTCGTCAAGATAATATGGAAATTGGTGACATGAAGAGCAAACCTACATTCTCTATAGATATAATTAGGGGCAATCAAACTTTGGGTTTCACATGTTCCTTTAACAATGAATCTGGCGCATCAGGAGCTGATGATAATTACAGTATGTAATATTTATATCTAACTAGAGCTGCAATAATTTATACTTTCTTTCAAGGCTTTGAGTTCAAACAATATTTAATTCATGTTCATTTTTATATTGCTTAATTTGTTTGATTAGCTTAATTAGTTTCCTCATTCTAAACTCTTGCACTTTGTCTTAGATGATATCTTTGGCATTGATGAAATCACACTGTATGAAGGTGAACATACTGAAAAAGTATACTCTGTAGCTGGTGAGATCATCGACGGTGTAAGTATGGATTTGTTATTAATTGATTTTCCAAAGTGTTGAGTACAAGGTGCCGATATATAATGGTTACTTTGATTATTGATCTTTGGGAGATTATAGACATTCTTATAAAATCAGATTATGATAATTTGTCATAATTTATTGATATAAGAATGCGACACATGTTATATTTTTAATTTTAATTTCTTAAAAATTTTGTCTTATTAGAAACAAGTCTCTGTCTTCAGATTTCTATGATTACTTGCAATGTGACTATTTGGCTTATTTGTTTTATCAGTTAGTTTTGATTGATTTTCTCCTTTTTTAATATACATGTTCATACATTTTAATGTTTTGTAAAGTCACATTATATATATGAAAAATATAGATTTTCTGAATTTAATTGTATCTTTACTTTACAGTATTTATACGATCTGTTGATGAACTACCTTGAAGAAAAAGGCATTTCTAACGAATTCGCAGAAAAACTGATCCATTTGAGCACAAATTACGAGCACACAGCATACGTTAGCTTGCTGGAGGGTTTATCCAAGTTTACATCTGGAAAGTAATTCTAAGAGCTAAAATACTTCAACTTAAGATTTCTTGTAACTTACGATTTAATAGTTGTATGCATGTATTGTTAAATATATATATGTGTAACAGTTAACTTCTAATCTTTTTGAATTAATATATGAATACACAAGAACCTCTTAATCCGTATATGCTCATGACAAGCAATACAATCATGTCATTGAAGAATAAAAAATCCAACTGTACTACATAAATAATTAAGATTATTTACTATAGAATCTTGTGTTGCAACCTTGATTTCCCATCGAAGAAAATGGTTTGCACAATAGTCGATCAAATTGAAACTGTTATTTAGAAATCCAGTTCTTATAAATAGGATTTTTTTCCATTTATAAAAAAAAATGATAGAAGAGATTGTCTTACCACGAGTCATACAAAATTTGTATACAGCACGATTACTTCAGTATATCATCTAATAATATTAACTCTCTGCTGACAACGTGAAGTTGTGGAACATATCTAGCAATATGTGTCTGGAGTTGGATTCGATCTCAACGTTGTCAGCAGAAGGTTAAGTAAACATATCAATAATCATTTGATATTATTTCCCACCATAAGTTTTGTACTTCTTTTCGCGATATTCCATCTGACAATTTACATATTTATAATCTATGCAATTCTAAAATGGGCAATGTCGCATTAAAAAATGGATGCATCTATAAGATATTTTGTAAATATTTTATTGTTATCTGTCGTATTTTATCACAATAGTACGAGTTATAGCCGATACAGAACATTGCACTGCCTGTCCTAGGTCTCGAGCTAAGGCAGCGGCATGCAATATGGCAACGTACACGATAAGAATAGGTTGAAATTCTCAAGTAAATAAACAAACAGAAGTTACTGTTCTTTCCAACGATGCACCAGAAAGTGCATCAGAAAGTCCCAGGAAACAACATGGCACAACACATAATTTTAGATGCAAATAATTCTTCAGATGAAGAATTTACTGTACTTGCGTTTAATGTATGTATCTCAATTGCCCGCAGAACCTATTTGGGATATTGCCACCTTCATTTATTTTAATTTCTGCAATATTCATCTCTTCCATCTTCATAGATCTATTCTTTTCACCTGGGAGTCGATTCTGTATCTCGAAACGAAGTAAAAATGACAAAAGTGAGCAAATATACTAGAATATTCGTAATTTCATTGGTCAGTGCCTAGTGAATGTGCTTACTTTTGTAATTTTCACTTTATTTCGAGATACAGAATTGACTCTCTGCACTATGGCTCTGCACTATTCTTTTTCATCCTATCTGGCATGTCTAATAGCGTTTTTCATTGGCAGAATTGGTGCGCACTGAGTGCACACTAAGGCTTGTTTACAATACATTTTCATATTTAAGATCGTGTCTTAAATACATATTTAAAAATATTTTAGGTAATAAGATGATTCATACGGATGTTATACATATTATACTACTGGATAAAAATATTTGAGAATTTATTTAAGATAATCTTTGAATATAATAACATACTGTGAACAAGCCTTAGTGCGCACCAATTCTGCCAATGAAAAACGCTATAAACCTATGAATTTTGCTGTACTCGCCAGTTCCAGTTCCGAACCAGTGCAGTTCCAGTGCAGCACTAGTTTAGTTGAAAAGAACAAACCTCTCACTTATAGCGAATTCGGTAGCTTGCACTAGTGCGCACTGAGTGCGCATTAAGGCTTGTTTACAGTACATTCTTATATTTAAGATCGTGTCTTAAATACATATTTAAAAATATTTTAACTAATAAAATGATTCGTACGGATGTTATACATATCATATTATGGTTAAAAATATTTGAGAATTTATTTGAGAATTATTTAAGACAATTTTTAAATATAATAACATACTATGAACAAGCCTTAGTGCGCACTCAGTGCACACTAGTGCAAGCAACCGAATTCGCTATTAAACTACTTGCACTGGTACAATCATTTTTGCCCTTGCACTGCACTGCACTGCTGGTACTAGCTCCAGACTCAGTGCAAGCAGTTCAGTGAATTGTTGCACTAAATTCTACTGCACCGTTGGAAAGAACAGTAACCTCTGCTTGTTTATTTATTTGAGAATTCCAACCTATTCTTCTGGCTCCTGCACACAGGACGCGGTAATGCTTGCTGCGCGACGGAAATTCGCGCGACAGCCAATCAATATGTTATTTTTCCGTAAGAGCTAGAAGGTTATTACGGAAAGCAGCATATTGATTAGCTGTCATGCAAACTTCCGCCGCGCGGCAAACATTACCGCGTCCTGTGTGCAGGAACCATTATACGTATACGTCGCCATATTGCACTATACCGCTTACTTTGGCTGCGTTCCGAAATTCACTGCCAGTACTGAAATTCTATAGTAGTAATTCTATAGTAGTATTAGTATATGTGACATGAACTATAGATTTTCAGTACTGGCAGTGAATTTCGGAACGCAGCCTTTAGGGCTATCGCACACAAATTGACATAACTGCATATGCATAGCATAAGATCGTATGAACCAATGAGCATCGAATATTAAGCATCGAACATCAATATGGCGACTTAATACTCGATGCTCATTGGTACATACGGTCTTATGCTATGCATATGCAGTTATGTCAATTTGTGTGCGATAGCCCTTAATGTACATTGCTTGCACTAGTGCCGCCAGTGCAATGGGCGAAAAGATAGACCAAGATGGACGCAATTAGGTGAAGGAAAGTTCGAGGAGGCGGTGAATGATGGCGTAGAGAGGCTGTGTTGCGAAAAGTGCAGCATCCCGAATGCTCGGCCCCCGTCGTCGTCGCCGCCGCCGCCGCGTACCTATCGGTGAGAATGTCGTGCCGCGATCCCGACAATTTGATGGTGAGCGCAAACGACGAGAACTTCGACTACCTGTTCAAGATCGTGCTGATCGGTGACTGTGGCACAGGCAAGACCTGTCTGGTGCAGCGCTTCAAGTCGGGCACATTTGTCGAACGTCACGGGAATACCATCGGCGTCGACTTTTCCATGAAGACCGTACTCATAGACGGCAAGAGAGTCAAGGTGCGACCAACGCTTGGGTTGTTTAAACTAGTTTAAACTAGGTGTTCTAACCTCTTCGTCGAGAACTGTTCTGACAGCATACATCTAAAATATGTTTTAGAGTTATCTAAAACAAATAGAATGCTACTTTTAGATATCTTTTAGACACTTCTGCTGTCGGAGTGATTACTGGCCCAACTTGAGATTTATATCTGTTGACGCGATATACGTTTCCGTAACTAATATGCAAAATACACGAATGCACATTCTTTGGTCTGTTCTTTTCAGCTGTACTGTTGAACTGGTGCAGTAAGTTAGAGTGAGAAAACATATACTTGTCTCACTTTGACTTATTGCACCAATTCAGCAGTGCAGCTGAAAAGAACAGACCACTTGTCTGCAAACAGAAAACTGTCCCATTCTGTCATTCAACATGTCCCTAGGACATTACTTGCCCATTATACACTTAATGTTCCATTTGAGATTGCAGCATTTGTTACAATTATACCTTCTGTTATGGACAGTTACAAATATGGGACACAGCAGGACAGGAGAGGTTCCGTACAATAACTCAGAGTTACTACAGATCTGCAAACGGAGTAATTATAGGTATGTGCATGTGGATCATTATTCTTAACTAATTCTAACTGATAATTAAATCATCTGTCTTTATTCTCTTCAAATTAGATAACAACACATATATATTATTTAACTGTGGTAATTAGCTTATCAAGAGGATAGAAAAATCAGCCCTACTTCAGTCATAAGCCAAAAGATAATTTTCTTTGTTTTATATGACATCATTATTTTGATTTTTCATTGTGATAATTTTTTTCAAGTAACATCAAGTTGTTCATGAGCTATATGTAAGAACAATAGATGCAAGATTTATTTAACGCTGTTGCTTTGAAAAACATCTGATTATAGATTCTATTTGTTGATGTCTCAGTAGTTATAATTTTTGCCATTAGAAGATGATAAAAATATATTTTAAAAACAATATAACTTCAATATTCAGAAAGAGCATTATTTACTTCATTTAAACACTAAAAGAATGTTTCCCTTGACCTTTTGGGATTTCTTTCTACCAAATAAAAGGTTAAAGAATAAGTTGAAGTTATTCTCTATTCTTACTGAAAACAACAAAATGTATCATACTCTTCTGTCTGAACTAACACATAAATGTATTTCAGTTTATGATATCACGAAGCGATCGACCTTCTTGAACTTGCAACGTTGGGTGGAGGAAGTCCGAAGATACACTTCGTCACATGTGTTATTAGTTTTAGTTGGTACGATCATCTTGCGTATCTCTACAGTAATCATCAAGCAATATTGTATTATCACAAGTACATGTGTTGTTTTCGCTTCATCAGGTAACAAATGCGACCTGGAAGATCTACGAGAAGTGAAAAGAGAGGAAGCTGAAACCCTATGCGAATATCTACCCGAAGTTTTACACATAGTGGAGACTTCAGCCAAAGATAACACGAATATAGACACCATCTTTTTCTATCTGGCATCTGAACTCAAGGTAAATCTCCTCTCCTCAATTGTCTCACACGATCACACCTTTACATCAATTACAAGTTACTTACGCTTCTAGAGACGACACGAAAATCGCCAAATTAGTGCAAATGAGAACGATGTGGTGAAACTTGGCATGGGGCGAAATTTATCTTCTTGTTCAGGCTGTTAGTGTAAGATACTTTGACCCATTAGACAATTCCCTCTATCCGCAAGTCCATATATATTTAAATCGACATGTTTCGCGGAAAAGAGTAAACTTGCCGTAGACAAGATAAAAAGCGCGTTGAAAGAGCAGTTCTTTTTCTCGACTCATTGCCTCTTGTCTTGCTATGGTAGAAACTAATATCTTTTTAAAGCAAAATGGCAAAACAACAGCCCAAAGAATGAATATCTAAGGAACATATATATGAGGTAAAAAATACTCCATATATTCGCAAGAAATAGAATGACATCAGTTGCTCTAGTATCGAAAAATATGAATCTCACAGTAAGGATATAATTCTTAAAAACAGGGTGACTTACATTTCCGCCCCGAGATTGTTTGTTGTTTTGGGAGGGCACATTCGTGTATTTTTATATGCGATTTAGCAAGTATATTACAAATATATGTGTACACGTGCGCACACATACATATGCACACAGTAATACTTTTTACAAATACTACAGCGACCTGAACAAATCCTAGATGTCCAGTGCCTTAAAACTTTTGATAAATGGTCATATATTCTCGTATAATAAACGCACGGACACTCATAGAGTGTGATCAAAATGGATTACAAAGGATTTAAATAGTGCGTGGTAACTTAATTTTGTTATTTATTCTATTTATTTGCATATACATAAGATGATTTATTTTAATTTTAATAAGAAATGTTCGAAGAAATACTGTACTTTTTGAAACAATATTGGGATGGAAAGTTGTTTGAAGGGAGACACAAGATAGTAATATTACTGAAACCTTAGAATGTTTTGTTTTCAAGATTAATTTTGATTTCATTAATAGAAATATTTTAATAGTAAAATAATTTGCTTAATATAAAGTTCTACTTGTCATCAATATACAAAAGCTTTCAAGTGAGATCAGCAAAAAGTACATGTTTTTTAAGATATTTTACCTTTTATTCTAATACTTTGTAGTATAAAATATGAAACATCTTAAAAAGTATTCTTTTATTCTCAGCAATTCTGAGCGTTATCTAGGAAGGAACGCGAAAATCGTCGCGTTTCTTCAGAATGTTACTTGTCAAGATTAAAATGAATCATTTGAGATATATATATATATATACACACATACACACACACATACAGAGTGTTTAAAAAAAAGGATTCAAGCATTTTTTACTCAGTATAATAAGTACTAACTGGTAAGTTAACTCTTTTTTTTCTCTTGAACACCCTGTATATACATAAAGGATTCGAAGCTATTGTACAATATTTTAATAGCGTGTTCTGGGGCTGAATTTAAAAATTCTAATTAAGTTCCAGAATGCCTTATTAAAATATGGCAAGATAATTTTGAATACTTGCTCGAATTACAACATTGTAAATACCGTTTTTCAGTGGCATTCTCGGCACGCGTTTTACGCCAAAAGAGGCGTTTTTTCATTGTTTCGTTTTGTTTAAAAACGGCTTAAGAACAAACTGCCACATTTTAGAGTGCTATAGACGCGACGAGAATGCGCATTCCGCGTGAATATACGCAATTGTTATATATGAACAAACAATGTGTAACGAATCTCTCTATTATCATTTATACAAATCATTGTACTATATTTTTTAACTATTTATATTTGCATAAAAATATATTATCCTTGGACAATTTGTTGTTGGTTCGCGTTTTTCGGACAGAATACTTCGTGATACAGCATTTGATAAATCTCGCGAGAACTTAATTTAGATATTACATAATCTGTGAATCTCAGATCTCGGTGAACTGTTGAAATAAACATCTTTAGGTGCCGGAAGTAGTATGTACACTCCTCGATTTCTTCCACCACCATTGTTGGTTACGTTAAATCACATGTACGAATATATTTCGAACATGTAAAATGGAAAATCCACTCTGAAGTGTAAATTTACAGTGTCTTCATACCGCAATTATACGCCGAAATAATGCACGAGGTTCGCAACGGTGTAAAGAACTGTCACTCTATACTACAATTGAAAATATTTATTGTGTATTTATATTATATATATGTGTGTAGATAGTTGAAAAATATATTTTTTTTTTCTGAGATATATCGTGTGCATTGCGATATCTCGTTAATATATATTATTTAACATATTGCGCCTGGTACGTATGCAGTATAAAAATCATTTATGTGTATCCGTATTCTGTACATGTTGATATTCTAAATTGTAATAAATAAATCATTTTTTTACTCGTTACAAATCCACCAGATTAATCCACCTTCAATAGACTAATCTTCGTTGGTTTATTTAATGAACAATTCAGCATCAATTCAAAATAATACGATCACGGCAAACGTTAAAAAGGCATTTATCACAGTGAGCCGAGGCTAATTATCGATTTCTATTTGTGAGCAGAATCAATTTAATCATTGTTGTTATTATAATTATTAGGTAGCGCAAAATGTCCTGAGATTATCCTCGATGTGTTCAGGACGTCCTGGAACACTCTATGATATTCTGAATACATTCGTGGCACGATTCTAGAACGTGTTGTGCTATCTGGCTTGTTTATATATATATATATATATATATATATATATATATATATATTTATCTACAGTTCAATTCCTTCGTTATATGATAAGCCGATTATTTGTTAATACAAAAAATTATACGTATAATTATATAATTTTATATATGTATGTGTGTGTATATACATATATACACACACACGCGTAGCATCAACGTAACAGAAACAATTATTTATTTCAATGTAAATAAACAACATATATATGTATAAATATATATACAGCTGTATACAGCATGTACTTGTATAAATAACGATACAGTAAACAACATTACTTCATATATTATTGCAAGTGTTCGCTGCGTAAAATGTTAATTGATAGCACTTATTTGGCTTTACGCGCTAATCATAACATTTCATCACATACTATAAAAAACTATGAAGGTAATGAGGCAGAGCGCATAATTCATAACGCGAATTCGTTGCGACGAACAGCGACATTGCTGTACGCCATACAGATCGGAAATTAAATTCTTAATTTTGTGTGTATCGATCGAAAAGTAAAATACATGCGTTTTCGATGCTGCTTATAGTCGTTTGTATTTAATCTTTGTGTATTATTCCCTGCGTTTTAAATGAAATACAGATGACATGAATAATATAAGGACGTGAATCAAATCAACCAATTCTCCTAACTATTCCCTTCTCCTTTTTTGTATACAAGAACAGTTTATACATACTTAAGGCACTTTTTACACTGTCTTCACGTTAAAGGCTCCTCGCTACGATATATCAATATGTGATGGACGACAAACAAGAGAATTTATGTGAATTTTGCCCTCTCATTGTCGACATACAGATAAACTGATTTTCTTCACATCTGACATTGTAATTCGGTAATATCATTGCGATAACATTACTAGGAGCCTCGGAATGTGATTTAAACGCAATACATGATAAATTAGATTTTTTACAAAACAAATATCATTGTTGAATGCATAACAAGCACATATTAACAAGCTATAACAATTAATCGGATAAGCTCTGACGCATTGCAGATATATTCGAAAATCTCTATAATTGACGATGTAAGGAACGGTGTTTGTATGTAATTCTGCATCAAAAGTTACATATGATACGAATCAGCGAAGAAACTAATTGTGTGCAAGTAGAATTTCTATTTTTTACTTTTTTAAAATAGTTCTTATTAAAATCACACAAAAGAGAGAGAGAGAGAGTGAGGAAAAAATCTAATTTTTTTTCACCAAGCCTGATACTTTCTACGCGATGGCGGTAGCATAAATAACATTAATTATATTTTCTGAAAAATTTACATGATTTATATTTATTGCTATCGACGCAATCACATCCGAAGACCGGGCATTAAAAAATAATCAAGTTCGGCCCTTGAACCGACTTGGTGAAAAGAACAGGACAATTAATATACAATTATTGGGAAGACGTTGGGTCGAACAAATAAATACAGCCAGACCAAACAAAGCCGGCCGCACAAACTCGCGACTCATGTGTCAAGGTCAAAAGATCTTAACCTCAACTTTCTTCCTCGCTCTTAACAATATATTACATCGAATAAAAAAAAAACAAATTATAACACCTTTCCCGAGTGTTCTATATTTTGTATTTTCGTGCACGAAAAAAAGGAAGAAAAACAAGATAAAAACAAGATAAAAGATCTAATAAACTTGTACGCCTAATACGGCTAATCTCATACTCTCGCGTAAGTCCTTCTGTACATCTCGTCCACCTGCGTGAGGTAATATGTGCCCGTGAACATGTTGGCGGTGCTGCTCTCGGGCGCGAATGGCACGACATGATAATTCTGCTCCCTTAATGCCAATATTCTGGTGTAGTCCGCCGGTGAAGCACGTTGTCGCGTCTCCAGCTGCGATTTGACGTAGGAGAGAGCGGAAACGATTTTTGCCAGATCGGAGCCCTCTTGCGTGTTCTTGGTTACGGTTAACGAATACATACTGGAGCATAGGCCAGAGCCGTACGAGAACACGGCTATCTTGTTGCCAGCCAACTCATCGATCGGCTTGGATATCAGCAGCGACACCAGGCCGGAATACACCGACGGCGTGTACATATTGCCGACCTGGTTGGCGATCAACAGGCTGGGCCGAGTCTTGCGCTCAAAGTCGCACTTACTCAGTGCCATGAACGCCTTCTCGATGTCCCGATCGAAGTACGTGTCTTCGAGTTTGCTGGCGTGGAACGCCCTAATAGTGTCCCCGTAGCTGTCTGGGATGCGTTCCCGAGGTGTATTGAGGAAATCAATAAAGGCCAACCTGGCGAAGGACTTTTGCACGAGCTTACAATACGGCGAGTGGAAGAGGACTACGTCAAAGTTCGCAAGATTCACGTCCTCGCTGGGCTTTTGCTCGGTGAGGCATCGCTTCTCGCGATATTTTTGGTAACAGTTGTCCAAGGAGCTGAGGTAGCATTGGATCGACAGCTTGCCGTCTACCACCGGGTATTCGGAGCGCAGGTTCGGCTTGTAAAAATCGTAGGCGTGTCGCATGCAAGATACCCGAAGACCGCGATCGAATACCAAAGGCGCATCTGGACCTACGAGGATCGCGATCGCGCCAGCGCCGCCGGTCGGCCGCGCGCTACCCTCGGCGTATACCGCGTTGTCGGCCATAACCACCAGGGCCGATCTACCGTCCCACGCGCTGCTCTCCACCCAGTTGACGGCGTTGAAGAGCGCGGCGGTGCCGCCGTAGCAGGCATTCGTGGTGTCCGCGCCCTCGATGTCGGTGCAGCCGTGCGGCTCGAACAGCTGCATCAGCACGGATTTGACGGACTTGCTCTTGTCGAGGATCGTCTCGGTGCCGACCTCCAGGTGGCCGATCTGCTGTGGCCGCACATCGTAACGCTCCATCAGACGATGCGTTACCGTCAGGCACAACGAGTTGATGTCCTCGCGGTCGTTGCAGAAGCCCATCCGCGACTGACCTAATCCGATCGTGTACTTACCGGCCGACACGCCGTCGTGTGCTTCCAGTTCACTCTGCTCCACATACTGCGCCGGAAAATAGACTTCCAATGCCAGGATGCCGACGTCCTCCGGCCACATCTTGCTCCACGTCTGTTGTTCTGTTGTTGGTGACAATCACTAGTGGTGGTGATTGGATCGTTGGTTCCGTTAGTATAGAAAAGCGTGCAAGGAGACGAGCACTTTTCGCTCCCCGGTATCGGGTTTACGCAATCACGCGCAGTTGCTGCGACGACGACGACGACGACGATGACGACGAACCTGCCGGTTAGTTCGAATTTAATAAGTCGCGTTGCGTTCGTTACGTGTGTACGTAGACGTGCTTGAGCCGGTGTTAAATGGTAGCACGTATAGAACCGTATGGAACCGTCGAATTTATACAGTGATACAGTGCAAACGAGTCGACTGATCACACAATTTGCCTGAATGTAAAGATATTAAGTTAAAATTTCCAAAGTACTACGATTAATCGATTCACTTATGGCGCTGAAGTCTTGCTGCTTACGTTTGTCTGTATGTCACGGCTATTTAGTAAGCTGCAGAAGTGCGTGACTCCGAGTCGGGATACGTTGTCGTGGAGCAAGTTTTTCGATTAGCCCGCCGATAATTTTGCGTGAGAGGAATCTTGAAAAAATCACTGCTGTCGACGAATCTCGTCTACGTGCTCTCTTCTTTTCACCGGTGTGGTATGCGTCCGCAGGTGTTGTGTTGGATGTATGCGCACGATTCTCGTCCGTACTGAATTTAGGTTAGAAGTGAAACTCGACGGCAGAAGTGAAAATTCCGGTCGCCGTACGACTTTCGATCGCGTGCTTTGAAGTTCGCGTCCTTTCCTCCTCCTTCTCCTAGTGCTCCTAGTGCTCCTGACAATCTAAACTCGCTCTTATAAAAGTTGGACGCTGGTTCGCAGTGCCATCTGCGTTTAGCCCTGGATGTGGACAAACTAAACAGGTAACGTCATGCGGAGTGGGGAACGCGTCTCATACGCACACACATGCAATCGATACATAGATGTGTGGCATCTATTCTCATTCCGCATGATGTCACTAGTTTGGCCACACAGGGCCAAGTGCAAATGGTGTTAGATATAGGTGATGCCGTTTACAAGAGACAGGAGTTATCAGGCATGTATAGCATATATGTATAGCATATATGTATATATATATATATATATATATATATATATATATAACATAAAGCCAAGTATCTAACGTAAAATAGATGTTGATTTGCAGAGCATACTCATTGGTCGGAATGGTCTTACGTTACACATTTCGTGTGCAATGGTCCTTAAGGGTCTGCAGGAGTCGTAGACAAATCCTGAGTTGCGTTTGGAGACCTCTTGCGGCGAGAGCGCGAACCATTGCCATCTATGTGTAATGTATGACTATACACACGCCTCCAAGCGTATTGTTCGCGCGGATATAAGAGCAGGAAGGATGGATCAAGTTAGTTAGATAAAGACAAACTATTAAACGCCATCCTTATCTCTGCTTAGTTGTGACATCGACGCGTCCCCCCTTCCCTCGGCCAGCAGCGTGAGTATTTCCTATCCGATAGTCCAGAAAATGCTTTCTAGGCTTTCGGCCGAGGCGGCAGAAGCGTAATAAAGACTGCAAGGGAATATTTAAAAAATAATATAATATTCATTACGTACGTGATTTTGCAAGATATAGTAAAATATATAATATTGAATATCCTTGCTCAAGTTATATGGTACAAGAACATAAGTTCCTTCCTATACATGAATAAAATTTTATGCATGACTATTTGTAAAATCTGGTTGTGTACCAACCTGGTTAATAATATAACAAACAAGTAAAAATGGTTTTCGTGGCAAACATTGCGTCTCTCGAGCATAATACCTAACGTAGGATATGCTTGCTCGCGCCGTCCGCTACAAGAGCATACGCGCCTATTATTAGCATATACGCGCATATTATTAGCATATACGCGCATATTTCAATAAAAATATGTGCTACGAGGACAATTTTTTATTTGTTCCTTGCGTTATTATCGAGGTCGGTACAGAACCCGATTTTGCAGTTAGCCCCTTATAATTTCATAACACATTAAAATGTGGACTCTATACTGCACCCGCGTCGAAGGGCCATTCAAATAATTTATTCGATATTTATTTCAATCTTTTTTCCCAAAAATCGCTCTGTACCGACCTGTGGACGTTTATCCTGATTACAAATATTGCAATTATGAAGCCATTCTTTCTACATTTTGACCAAAATTTCTTTTCTACGTTTGCTTAGTTCGCAGCTCTCCGCCAGATGTCTCTAGTATGACTCCTGCAGATCCTTAAGGACTCTGATTGGTCAGTTTTCTTAGGCGTTGTGTATTATGCTTTTATGCAAAATTTTCCCGCTTTACCTTGTGTGCTGCTTTACTGTTCCGTCAGGTCGCGCACATCTGCTACTAGCTTTCTGAACGTGATGATCGTGTGAAGCGCCACCACTTTGAAACACCGCACAACGAGTTCTGGCGAATGACTGCGTTCACGACAGCGCTGCGCTGTAGTCATTGCAGTTGTCGCTTAATCGAATGAGGGAACAGAGACGGAAGAGGTGTGGAACGGCATGCTGGCGGGAAGAAGGCGGCAGGCGAAGTTCGAGCATGAAAGATAATAAATTGTGGCGGAATGAGACGCGAGAGATCGAAACAGAAAGTAGGACATTTGTACCAAGTACGATAAAAAAAGGAACATATATATAACATGTTATGTTAAATTAAGCTTATTTTCATTCTTAAACTTCAGTGAACTTAATCGACGAATATTTGACAAAACTGTAGAGTTCAGCATTGATCGAAGAAAATTTTCTTTAACTAAAATAAATTATCAATATATAATTCTTTCTTTTTTTACATCTCAAAGTTTGACTAACAATTAATTTCCTCAATCAATGACAAATTATTTGTGTTTTTATATGACAGTCGATTAATTTTTGTTATTGACTTGCCGATTATTTTAGAAAAAAGTGTTTATCGATTAAAGGCCTCTTGCCACGCAACTATTGACAACGTCAGAAACGAGGAAATTCATACTCAAAATTCCAGCAAAATACATCGATATAAAAAGATATATCTAAACAATGGCATTTGTAATCGATTAAGTATACCTCTGATCTACAATACTATCATTTTGATTTAATCAATCAATAATTGCAAAAATTAACATGACATGCAACTTTCCTTTTTCTTATTATTTTGTCATGTTAATTTTATTTATTGATTGTTAAAGTAAAAAGAGTTCGAAGTATTTTAAAGATATGCTTAATCGGTTGTGTCACTTTTTAGATATATCTTTATTTCGACGGAATCTTCAACATGCATTTCCTTACTTTTGGCGCCATAAATTAAGATGGCTGCAACAAGACGAGCCTTAATGTTTAACTTTGCGAAATTATCCAATAATCATTTTCAGTCATGATAATTTGTCGTTCAAAAATAATCGGAAAACTAACTTTATTTTAACAAGACAGAGGAGGCGACATTTGATAGATAGCGATTTGAAGTCGTCGATTAAATCAATTAGAGTTTGGTGAAAGTAACCCTAAGTATCACAAACTTTCAACCACTGACTATATGTTTCCGGGATCGAGAGATCTCGAGGCGAAGATACGTGAACTGTTACGTCAGTCATTTTAAAAAAATGTCAAGCGCTGAACTTCATTCGGCATTAGATATTCATGCGTCTTTTTGTGTCGAATAACAATTCACGCAACTGTTACATCGTACCTTTTGATAACGGAGATATGAATAGACGACGATGTGCTAGGATTTGTTGGTTCGCTGTTTGAATGGCCAACGGGCCGTAAAAGACTTGAATAGCAGATGATTAGGTCAATGAATCTTAATGACTACGTTGAGCAAATACAACGATTGCACAACGGTTGAATAATTGGTCAAAATTTGGCGATCTAGTGGTAAAGACTAATGATTATTGATTGCTCACCGACCGCTCTTTGTTTTGCTGAACGTAGGCAATATCAATGCTTTTTATTCAACGCCATAATATGTTGTGGACAGCATCAACTTTAAAAAAATTAATTATCAGCAGGTGAAGTCTCGCTGATTGAAAGTAACCACCGAAATATCTCAGAAACGCGTTTGTCCTATATGAGTAAGTCAGCTTCCTATGCATAGTATAATTTTTCGTACAGACTATAACTTAGGTATTGTAAAAATTCGATTTACTTACTATATGCAGTAAAAATTTTTCATCGATAAAGATTTATAATATTCTAAAAAAAAAAATAAATTCTTTTGAGTAAGATAAATGTTCCAATGACTTAACTAATGCGGAAGCATAATCAATTTTACATTTTTATTAACAAATAATTACTGGAATTACTAACGTGATGACGCGTCGTGAAAACGATTGTTTGCTCACGATGAATTCTTTTTTCAGCGAAAAGTTTACAGATTGTATACGAAATTTGTAACTGGATACGATATCATGAAAAAAATAAAAATAAATATTTCTGAGACGCGTTTTTGCGTCAACATTTGCCTATCAGAATTATATATCGCTTGCATTTCGACAGCGCGGTCGGCTGAATATTTATTAGTCGGGAATCTGAATCGATCGAGAAGACAAACAATTAGCTTGTCTTTTTAATTCACGTACTGCCTGCAATATCACCTGGAACGTTATCTTATGATTACATACAAAAAATTTATAATAAATTTAAATAAATGTCCTTCACTCAAATATTAAGTTTATGTAAGTTTATGTAAGTCAATCTATCTTACAAGTTTATTATAAACATCAGATTTATTCAAACATCAGATATATTCTGAATTCTAGTAAGTTTGGCATTTTAATCAAGAATATTAAATTAAAGCAAAAATTCGATCTCTCTACTAGTCAAAATTTTTTTTCGATAGTTTTATATTTTTGTAAAGAAAATAAATTCTTCTTTTGAATAAATGTCCCAATGACTGAACTAATATGGAAGCGCGATCAATTTTACGTTTTTATTAATAATTAATGGAATTACTAACAAATCTAACGTTTATATAAGACTTCCGTTTTGTTAGCGATCGAAAAATAATAGAAAATAAAATAATTAATAAGTTTCAATTATACATTACACACCCTACATGATGAGTTTCTCTAAAATTTATAATGAGTATATTTTAAGACTATTATAAAAAAAATATAGCTGAAGATAAACTTAGAAAAGAAGACTTAAAAAGACTAAAGATAAACTTAGAAAAACAGAGTAATATATTGCTTTTCTTAGTTTATTTTTCTATATGCAGTATTGATGATCGTCATGATGTAGCGATGAATATTTCGACTACGAAGAGCATATATAAATTCGGTAACTAGCAAACTGAATTACATAGCTAACATGTTATGTCTGATAATTTAGCGAACGTTGTCGTATCTAGAGCACCGATCTTCGCAAAAAAACAAAACAAGTATGGCTTGTCTATGAACTCTCTACGTTAAAGATGAAGAAGTGAAGGGAACCACAGTAGAATTTGCCACGATAACGCATATGTGTCGACGAGGGATTCCTCGAATCGCGCACGACTTAAGATCGATATTCACGTTTCCGTCGAGAAGACGAAACCGGTTTTTTCACGCCAAGTTGAAAGGAAGTTTTTGTCCATTCAATCGTTTGCAAATTAGAATTCCGTTTCGCTAATTCGCGTCCAAGCATTTACAAATTGAAAGTGTGCGCGATTCGCGTGTCGCCGTGAAGTTTGCGCTTCCGTCTGTTTTCGGCAAGAAGCACGTTGGTTACAATCAGGCGAGAAGGACTCGGGTGTGAGAAAAATAAACATGAAGAGCGAAACGATTTCGCTCGATATAACGATACACGCGCGCTATGAACAAATAAATATTTTGTGTAACCGGCGGTTTCCACTCGTCGTTTCTCTCCGTGGTTAAAACGGGTTAGAAAACAGCAAAAATAAGCCTGAAAGAGGGATTTTTAAGCAATGTTGGATATTAATATCGTTGAAAAGTTTCTTTGACTAAAATAATCGGCACATCAATAATCAAAGTTAATTATCATATACTAAAATCACAAATCAATTATTGATCAAACTTTGATGTGATCGATTACGCACTGATTAATAATTATTTTGATTATTGATTTACTGATTATTTTTGTCAGAGGATATTTTAATCGATTGATGTCCAACTCTGTTTTAAGAACGTAGTTTAGCCGATATTTTTTCGGTGTTCACTTTGGATCGTATTAGTCGTTTCCAAATAAAAATTTAGACATTGGAATTAATAAAAAGTTTGATCGTTATTCAAAGCGCTGATGTTATCTAAGAAGATCATATAATAAATAATTGCTTTATGTATAATTTATATTGTTTAACAATATAAATTTTGTTCGCTACCAGTGTCATATATATGTATTGGTAAAAATTTGTTACACATTATCAAGTTAAGTTTGTTTTACATAATCACATTTAAAAAAAAAGTATATACAAAGTAGGCTGTTGAAAGAGCCTTTTAAATAAACTGTGATAGCGAACGTGTTAATACTTAATATGTCTGAGTTTATATTTGGAGTTCTTCACGAACGTGTCGTAATCACTACGAGTCAGACTGCGAATGATAAACTTCGTTGTATTATCCGCTGCTTCATGACGCAAGAGCCGAACAATAGAAAAGGCTGAACTTTGCTTACGTCAATTATATTCCAGAGAATAATAAATACTTTATGAGCGTACGAGAAGAAAGCATACAGGCTCGGTGATGACACGATAGTGATGAACAATGCTGTCAATAATAGCAAAAAATCCTGTGTGTTGTGTCCCACTTCTCGTCTTCGCGCTTCGTCATTGCAGAATGGAGATGAAAACTCCAAGTCCTGAGGAACGTCGAGTCTTTTACGAAGGTATCGCTCCTGCGAATTGATCCAAATTAAAATCAAATCTTTACACATACGACCAACGGGAAAGGCTCGCGGGAGTGAAATGGATCAGAGGAGAGCATCACACACACCCGCGTCATAGTTTTATATATAATTTACTGGATACATATTCTAAAGTGTGTATGTGTGTATGTATGTGTGAATCGGTGTTATGCGCATGTATGTGTTCGTCGCGATACAATAATGAGTCGTTATTACAACTGGTCTACAATTAGCGACGGCAGCTTTGTTTTCGTCTGGCACGGCAAAATATAATTTGTTTCGTCTATCTACCTCTTTTTTCCTTCTTTCCCTCTTTCCAATACATTCTCACGCATCTCCCTGCTCCGTCTTACTCTCGAGCTACCGTAATCACGAATCGATTATTGCGCCCGCGAGCCACTTTACAATGATCCTACAAGTAACCATTTAAACGTTACACAAGCATCGTCCATAGAAATACACATAGTTTTATCGTTACACTTCCCGACTTATCTCTTGGCCTTCGGTTCAGCCTTATAAATAACATCCGTTCCACGTGCCGTGTTCGGCTCGATATCGGCTGCTTTTCTTTTTCCATTTTTGCAGCGCGGAAAAGCGATCGGGCGATTTCGTCGCACCGACAATTAAGTACAATCGACAGTCCGTTTTCCCGCACGTAAGCCTAGTTTAACACAGATTTTACATTTCCAATTTGTTTGATTCGCAATTCTCCGCAGAGCAATCTCGAGGAGAGTCTCTTGATCGTGCTTCTCGAGAACCCGGGGTTTTGTCGCGCGAACATTCAGATCCTCTCGCGCTCCCGCACTCCTGGCTCCTGAGAAATCGTTAGAATTAGCGATTTCCACTTAGGCATTGAAAATGCGGCAGCTCGCTCATTTTATTTCCGACTATCCGACACAATATACGCTAAAAGTGCAAATGGGAGATTAAAATAGCCACGCGTTGGTGAAACGGCACACGCTCGAGCCGGCGAGTCTATTTAGAAAAATGCGTACAAAATAGGAATGTGGCGCACACGCGCACACGCGTGTTTCTCAGCCCCGTGATGTGAAGGGAACGGGGGAAGCATAAAAAAGTATCTATGTAGTAGAATAGAGTATCCATTAACATTGAATATCCATGTGCGAAATTGAATATTGACGAAATTCATTGAAGATCATCCAATGATATATTTTTACTGGCCTTCGCAACACGTTTCGCGAATCTCTTCCTCTCAGCTGCTATTCATTTCTTCTCAATTTCTTCTTTCTTTACGTGTACTTAACGTGTAACAACAAGCGCATCTAGTGAAAGAAAGAAGAGAGCGATTGCGAGAAATGCGACTGAAAGGAACAGATTCTGAGATCGAATGATAAAAATTATGCAATATCAGAAGCAAGCGCGAATTCGCACATCTGGCTACCCGAAAAAAACAAAATTTGTTGAGAAGCGCTCTGTTCTCAGGGTCTAGAATTGCCTACCGGCATGTCGAGTGGCAGCTCAATGTATTTCCCCTGAACCCTTCAAACGCGCCCACGGGATTTTCCTAAGGAGAATCCCGCGCACGATGCTTCAACTTCGCGGTAACCAAAGAGACCGCTCGCTAGCGTTACAAAATGCTCAACACCCCCCTCGTCTTGGCACAGAAGTAACTTAAGTAGCTTAGTATTCCTAAACATGTTAACTTGGACGGATTCCAGACGGCGCGTCCCGGTTCGACAATTCTCGTCATTGAATGAGAATGTCTCATATATTAATGGACAAAAGCAATGCATCAATTATGCGATAGTTATTCTACTTCTTTTTTAAGAATTATATTTGGCGTTACCGCGACGGAGGATCTCTAAATTGTATTTCACGATCCAATGGAAAGATACCACCGCGAATAAAAAACGCGTTTCGACTAAATTAAACTCTGTAAATGAAAAACAAAAGGAAGGAAAAGCGCACCGTCTCGAATCGCGGTGGTCCAAACATACTTAGATTTATTTTTATACAACGATTCATTCTTATCGTAACCGATAATTGTCGCGCCCCGCGCAGAAGCGGCGGCTTACATGTACATGAACTTTAAAGTTACGCTTACGCATTCCTCTTGCATTATATTTATACATAAATATATATATTTCTTTATATGTATATATATATGTATATATATGGTCGCTTGTTTTTCGTGTAATATCATGTTCGGCCTCCCTCTGCGGCTCACAATTATCTTCATCACACACGCGAGACTTATCGTATGTTTTCTTATGCCATAGTCGTACTCGAAATATCGCTGCTTCGAAGACGGCGGTGATTGAATGAACGAAAAATAAGAAATGTTCGAAACCGTCATATCTCTGATAATTATACAGTCAGTGGAGAAAAGGTTGCAGTACTTTCTTTTTCAATAAGCTTCACTATATATCCATATTCACAATTAAATAAGAATGTTTTTTTAATAATTATTAGAAAGAATAAATTTTTCTATTCGGATGTCGAATGTGTTCTGAAATTCATTGAAATCAAAGCACTACAATACCAACTGCCCTTTCATTGAGTGTATTATATTAATCGTGAAATTCAAAGAACTGCGATAAACCATCTTAAATATTTCTTACAATTCGATTCGAGACAATCCAATAAGGTTGTCAAAGCAACATGAATTTCTCTCGTTCGACAAATCGCCAAGCGTAATAATAGACCTCGTTCTTCCTAACTGCAATTGTGTAACATTGGAATTTTGCTCTTTTTTCCCTTTAACACTCAATTATATACCCATTTCATTTTAAAGGCAAACAATGCAATCTAGTTCAGCTAAAAAGAATAGACATGATGCTATCTCTCTTCTTGATTTCCTAAACAGCTAAAAAATCTTAAGAAATATTTGATTACTCTAATTACAAGGTATAATGATATGATGAATATCTTCAAGCACAACCGATTGTACGACGGTACTCGGTCGCTGTTTCGTGTTCATTTAATCCGTTCGTTATAATCGTGATCGACGGAGGGCGGCTCGAACGTGACGCTCTCTCGTAACGCGGAAAGTACATGATTTTTTTTTTAGCGGGACTAACTATCTCCGAGGAAAAATGTACGAAAGTTACGTTCTCCAAAAAATTACGTCTACGTGTTTTGTACAATTGTGTCGTAAGTAAATGGCGGTCGCGGATTGAACGGTGGTAAGCGTCGTATAAGAAGACTTTTGTGTCAGTCGCATGTCTTGTTCTTTCCCTTGTTCCTCTTGTCTTCTTCCTCGAATACTAATAGGAAGCGCGAAAAAGCACAGGCGGCAGAGACAACTTCGTCTCACTCAAAAGATGACGAATCAACGTCTTCTTTCTCTTTTTCTCTCGCACACACACACACACACACACACACACACACACACACACACACACACACACACACACACACACATACACACACACACACACACACACTCACTCAGTCCGTATTCTCTAAAATTTACTTGAGCGAAATCTCACTCGAAAAATGGAGTGATAATCGAGTCACTTAAACTTGAATAATTTTTCACTCAAATAAATATTTTCGTTCGAAAACAAAATATGAGTTAGGAGTGATTTTCTAAAAGTTATAAAATGCCAAATATTGGTTCTGATCCTTTGACTGGAACAACGTTATACATAACATTCATGTAAAAGCAACTACCAAATCTTGGAATCTAATCAACTCAGCATCTAACATCAAACGTGTATCCAGAATGAGACTTCACTGATATAAACTGATAAGACTTGATATCTTTCAATGATTCAGAAAGAAATTCATTCTACTAAAAAAAGTTACACATATGGACAAAGTCCATATTATATTGCATGGTCGAAGTTAAACGTTTACTTTCGTGGTTCCGAATTACAATATCTTATCGTATTATCGCTTTGAGTGAACGTTCACTTGTTTCGAGTGAGATCTACAACCGGGGAAATTTTAAGAGTAGCTTTGCAAGAAGCAGCATATTTTGCGAAACAACGAAACAGGATCGATCACCAATCTTCGACGCGCGTATCCCGGACTATCGTCGTTTGGAAGGAAGGATATCGCCTATCCCTAGTCGCGTTCTGGGTCCTCCAGAATAATACGCGAGAAGAACACGCAAAAGCGTCGTGGACCCACAGTGATTACTGAATTTATGAAGTGTTAGCTCGCATAAATTCTTCACAAAAATTTGTCAACTTCCGCGACAACTTGTCCTCTATCCTTCTCGCTACTGACTGGCTATTTTGCAGATTCACAGGTCCTTCTCGGACTCAATCATTGAGCGTAGCGCTACTACCTCCGTGAATACTGTGTTTCAAGAGAGAGAATCATTATCTCTCCGAGTTTCTTCTTCGCGGCTTTTCCTTCAGTCGCTGCATGCACAAAGCACGCGTCGAGATCGCCGATCCACCCGTGAGATTGCAGATCGCTATGTAATCGCACCTATCGAGCCCTACCAAATTGATCAGAATCTACCTATAGCCGTACTCGTCATTGGTAATCGTCGTCGCCGGGAATATACGACAACCGCGCCGGAACCGCCGTTCCTATCTGCCTGTCTGTCCGTTTGCCACTCATTTTCTTTCTCTTTCTTTAACCGTGTTTGATTAGAAGAGGCCCTTCTTCTTGTTCTTCTTATCTTTACCGTCAACAGCCCTGAAAGAAGAATTCCCATATAAAGCAGCTGTTCGAATATTGCTATATATAACGTAAACTAATACAGCGCGCGCATACATATTGCCGATAAAGAGGTGACAATTTTTGCAAGATCATCGAAATATCAGATGATGCGTTCCGGTTGCGACGGTCAAGATCCTCTTCTAATCCGCAACGTTGCGCGCCTGCATAAGATATGAAGCTTGTCTTGAATGGAAATATTATGAAGACTAACAGATGGAATCGATCTAGGTGAAGGATTTGAAGTTAGTTTTGTGATCGGACATTCTCTTTCTCTGTTGGTTATCGATTGTGATTAGAATTGAAATGATAATTATATATGCGCGCGTATATGCAATATATCCATTACAATATAATACTTTCTCAATTTCTTAGAATAAAATGTCATTTAAAAAGTAGAAATTTGCTTGAAACGATGTGATGAAGATATCGTCACTCGAAATTATAAAAGTCAATGTTTAATATGAACTTAGATCCATACAAGTGAATATTCTAATCGATTAGAGTGAATTTATTTTTGTGTGAAACAGTTGAGTTACATCAAAGATACATTCCTCTATTTTGAATAAGAATATTCATTCGACAATTCTGAATGAAGAAGTCACGATATATAAATGCAAAGTCACTCGAATGTTAATGATTCGATTGCGACTCTATTTTATAAATAAAATTTCATTCGAAGAAATTTAGAGAGAGAGAGAGAGTATATAATTTTATATATATATATATATATATATATATATATATATATATATATATATCTCACGTATAAAATATATAATAATACACTTGTATTACTTACATCAACAAGAAATTCGTTATTTTCGTCTGACGTAGTCCTATACTTTTTATAAATATCGCGAGGAAGATTTTTTTATTATATTTCGACGGTGTTTTACTTCGATACATGTATTATTTTGAAAGAACTGTAATTGATCGATTCGGAAGCATAATACCGACGTTCAACAAAAAAGTCTAAAGCGGCACGCAACTCGCAGCCGATCACAGTATGTAATTCGTTATGCGAAATTATTTGCAATTTTTTGCGAATAAAAAATCTATTCATGCGAAAAACCATGCTTCAATCCCATCTTTTGGTCGCCACCAAGGAGCAATAACATGCTAAATCAATCGTATGTCCAGAAAGTTATGTCATGTCTACCGTGTGTTTTCGTTGCTTTCAATTTTGCCTTTGATGCCGTTTGGCGTATCTTACGTCTGCTTTTTCTCTTGCGAAATACATGAATACATTTGTGTATTTGAGTGTTTGTACAAATATTTGCACTTTGCACACGGTATTTGCACTCTCGAACATTTATGCTAATTGCAGATACATATGCACACATGAAAGTATCATTAACATATCGCCACTTTAATTTCTTGCATATGGAAAGATGGAAAAGGGTAAATAAATTCATAAAAATCAACAAAGAAAATCCACCATATTATTTAAATATTGATTTAAAATTCAATTAAACTCTGAAATTTATAATTACCGCGGTAGTGCGAAACGTTCTCTTAAGTTATGTAAAACGCGATTAACATTGCAGATCAACTCATTAAAGTGACGATATATTGTAAAACGGTGGACATTGTACGGAGCAAATTATGACGCGGAAAATAACGAGGGAAGACTGTGTGCCACATTGTTCAGTTTTGTGAGTTTTCGCATTTCTCACTTATTTACTCGCTCGTTTGAATCCTCTTTTTCTTGCGACATAGATACACACAATTTTCCCTCGTCGCTTCGCTTACGATCTGAATACAGATAAGCTAAAAATCGCATGAGGACTGAAAACTGTTAGTAAATGTTTTAGGTAAGCATTGGCGTTTATTTTGCGAAAAAAAAAGATCGAAATCTTCAAATTAACAATGTATAATTGTCTGTGAGTAATTATTAGTAGTAGGCGGTTGTTATCCTCTACCAAGCTGTCTATTTTTTCGGTTTTCCTTTATCTTAATACTTAAAAATTTTTTGAGATTCAAAAAATCCCGTTTGAGACAGGACATCAGATCATGCTTGCGCGAAAGAATTTATTCGAGAAACAATGGCAATCTTCGAACAGTCTTTAAAATGGCAAGAAACATATTTCAATAACAAAGAATACGAACAAAAAAGAATACGCGTGATAGTCGAACGAATATGAGATCGACAGCTTGCTTAGAGTTTACAATGTCCCGATTTCTTTCTAATTGCGCGAGCATACGAAATGGTCATTCGTACAAATCAACCCTTTACCGCGTGGTGTTTGAACATTGTGTGGAGAACATTGATTTTGGGAAAGAACGGGTGAGGTATGAACAAAGTGCCTGTTTTCTTCTCCTCAAGAAAAAAGGAAAAACACAAGAGACTTTCGAATCTTGTTGTAATTTTGTTTCGCAGTTTGGAACTTGAAAAAATAAAGGACGTTTCATTAACGCTTCCTCAGCGATTAATTCCGCGCAAACATTTAATCTGTTATCGCGCGACATAAGCATAAAAGCGTCAGTCGAACAGTAAAGTCGGAAACGTTGATTTTGCGTGTCATTCTAGTACAAAATACACGCATAGCTCAGCTAACCGACAAAATGATGAAACTGCATTAATCTTCGCTAACGTTATCATATTACGTACGAGAGGAGGAGAATTCAAGACGGATAAAAGCGGCTTTGCCGTCACATGAGAATATGACCATCGGAAAGGATAAGATGTGAACGTCAGTTTATTTGAGATGAGTGCAAATAAGAGATGACACAGCAAATCGCGTTGTTTATGGGGCTTTATCGCGGCGAGAGAGGCAGGGCTGACTGATTATGGCACGCGTCACATGCGGTAAAGAGTTGAGAGGTCCGAGGAGGTCGTGTGTAAAACGCAGGTTTAGAGTACAAAAAACGACGTTTACGACGAGGTAAAAAAAATGAGTTTTGTACACGACTTTTGCTGTTGCCCGTGTTACATCGTTATCTCGTTTTATAAAAGTCCGTGCCAAAAATATGTTGCTAAATTGTACATACAAGCTATAATACTTAATACGGTGTGAAGTATCATCTACATGTTTTTTACCATGATTTATGTACTATTTAATAATGTTCTCGCGTTGTGTAAGAGATTCTACACACGCATGTTTGTACGTGTAAAGTCTGTATTAGACTAGATATATTTAAGGATTGCAGGTTGATGACTGGAACTCGATCGATTGAGACAAGACGAATCACGATCGAAATTACTCGTGATCGTCGTGAATTCAAATCTTTCATCTGCAATCCTTAGTTTTCAATACTTAGTCTGATACGGCCTTAACGACGTGGATTACGACGGATAAGAGGAAATGATGAATAAAATGAGAAACGACCATGAACGCGCATGAAAGAGATTCATGGACAACGGTGAATGGGAGTGTGTATGAGAAGAATCGCGTTTTCTGAACGCGCGTAATTCCTCGCTATGAACTTTGAACCGGATATACGCGACTTCGTCGAAGTGAAGAAACTTGTTATTAGAGTAGGGACAGAATGTTCGGGAAAAATGCGGCGAGAGCGACGAGCATCGAATGTTATTCATGAAATATTCGAAATAAAAATATTTTCGTTTAATAAGAGAATAAATGTCGATTATCTGCTCTCTGAACTTTTTTAGCGAAATTCCACTCGAAAAGTAAAATAAAATAAGATTGGAAAATAAAATTCAACACATTCTTGATTCGTCGAAGAACTTTTCGTCGGTTTATAATCTTTAATACGTGTGTTCTAGTTAGATAATAAATATATTTTAATTAAATAAGAAGGCGAAATAACGGAAATTTCGATTCAAGTCATTGAAGCGCGGTTGACCTCTAATCGAGAGTCAAACTTTCGTCATTGAATATATTCGTCGAATGACACTCTAAAGCGTTACTCCTTTTAGTTTCCAGTTTCTCGAAACTTAGTCCAGCTGGAAATGCCGTGTACTGAATAGCCGTTCGATTCAAGGTGATTCAAGTTGAACGCAAAAATCGCTCAAAACGGACCCTCAACAACTTTGTCCAGCTTGTTCGCCATTTTCTGCATTTTCCACGACACTCGTCCCTCATTTATATCGATTCTCACTCGGCTTTGATTGAACGTTAATAGGTGTATTGTTGCACTTGTATACTGTCCCGAAATGCACGTGGTTCTAATGAGACCGATACCTATAAAAACGAACGAGAAACAAGGCATGAGGTGATTGAATGCGAGACGGAACGATCGATTGTAAAATCGCTGGAATGTGGTTTACCACACTGGATCGCGTTTATCGTATGTGTGCCTCGTGTACGCGACATTACTCTCCTTTTTCTTTTTTTTTTTTTATGGCGTAGCTTACGACAGACACTTCTCGTTAGAAATATACAGTCGCTTTGGATTACGATATGTATCGAACTCGGGTTAAACGAGTGTAACGCACGCGAGTCGATGCGAATAAGTGCCACCTATACGATAATAATGATAATGGCTGTGTCAAAAACAAATACGCGTGTTCGAATTGTTTCACACAGTCGTGGAAGCTAATCGTGACTGATGATCGCAGTTGATCAGTCCGACAATCAGAATATCTGATGTGATCCGAAAGAATCGATTTACCACACCGTGCGTGGATTCGTTGATTATTTGGAACTTGAGGAGAAAAGTAAAATTTAGACAGGCGGCACTTACTCCTCTCAACAAGTATGAAGAGATTCTTTTCTCAGCCCTTCATCAGGCGATCGAGGTCGTGTGATCTTGTAACATGCGCTCTTTCATGTAAAATATTTCTCTTTTTCTCGTATCTTCGGCTATCCTCTGATTTGATTGTTCTCGACTGGTCTAAAAAGAAGACCTTTTGATTTCCATTCTCGCTTCGACCCACTACTAGGAATCTTTTTCGTGTCTGAGCAGCCTTATCGCCGGAAAGACCAGGATCGTCTGAATGAGGGTTGGAGAGCGCGTCGAGTGAGAAATTCGCGACCTCGACACACGAGTCTCGCGAAGCGTGTCCGACAAGTCTATTAGGGGTGCTCAGGATGCTGTATGACAAGCTGTATCTGTGTGGGGCTGTCTTGAGGTGATTTGAAACTGGTGTGACGGCGGAGGAGGCTGCCTATCCCTCGGGACCCTCTCAACGTACTCCCGCCACCTCCAGATCCCTCGGAGGACATCGATCCCGTCCTAGATCAGGAGGACACCGCGATATGGTATACACACAAGAGTGACAAACAAACCGGGCTCTCTCTTTCTTACTTTCATTCTTTTTTTCTTTTCGTTTCTTTTCTTTCGTTGCGAACGTACAACCGAACAAAGAGAAAGACGCGCGGCGTGTGATCGCGGCCTTAGATCTACGTGATGATTGGATCATTGGTCATCAACGTGAGACATTAACAACAGTCACCCTGGCGAACCGCCGACGTTCTTCTTCACGCGGTAAGCAATATTTTGTTTCAGAGTGTGCGACGCATGAAACGTCAGCGGTTCGACGTTAAGACGTCGCATTTGGCGCTGAATGGGTCTGCCCGGTCTCGATCCATCCAGGTAACATGAAGTCAGACAAATGTCTTTTGGACAAGACTTTTTTTTCTAACGACTGGTGACTACCATTCGTTCGTATTGCTGGGATGAGTCGTTTTAACACTAAATAGAAACATTTTCCTTTTTCATGGCAAATTCAAATGCCGGGCAATCTCGTTCAGTGCTAAACGCGCGATAAGAAAAAAATGGTTCGTGGGAGTCGCGTGATGCGTGTGCGAACTATACCCCGTTAGTGTGTAAAAATTATAAAACAAAATTCGATTGCGCGCACGCACACACAGACTTATGTACACACGGGAATCGGTCTGGTTGAAAATATCATGTCGATGATGATGATTACTCTGTGATTAGTGCAAGCTTCGTGAAAGCGACCGGGACAGTAAAGGAACGTAAATGTCAAGCGTGGACGGCAATATTGCGGCACAAACGGCAACTACGAGATCTCACATTAAATCTAAACACGTATTAATGACTACGAGACACAGCAGATAGCGAGGCCCACACATCGTACTATACAGTACGTCGGTCGATTCACTATTCGTGTTCTTGTTTCGGTCACAAATTTCTCGAGCTCGACTTTTCACGGATAATTTCACCACATCTTCCTGATCGTGTGATCAATGTTCATTCGCGAGTCAGAACGAGAAATTGAAATTGGTATCAAAAATACCGTCTTTATACTGCCGATACTTCCGTATTACACAAAAACAAGAATAATAAAAAGAATACCGGTACGACCTTGTATATCAGTACAATATTATTTATCGATATCACGATATTTGATATAACATCGGTATCACAGCGAAATCATCCAAAACACAGTTACATCGCTGTCGAAACGCTAGTTAATTTTCGTAAACCCGTAAAAATGTTTACTTTGAAGAATCTTGCATTAACAGTCGGTGGACGACTTCTGCGACCGAAAAAAAGCACGGTAGTGGGCGAGACACAGACTACAAGAAAGCTGTCATCAAAGCTGCGTTAGACTCTAAATTACGTTGTGTGGTTTTTGCATCTTCAAAAACCGAATATTTAAGCAACTCGAAACTCAGATACTAAATCACCAGCGACACAGCTGCAATTGATATATATATATATATATATATATATATATATATATATATACACACACGCACACACACATGTATAGTTGTTTCGTTAATTGCTCGTAATTGTGTTAGCGTCTCTGACGTAAACAATAGGAAAAAATAGAGTCAAACTATACGAAGACATTTCTCTTCCTTTACGGAGGTATTTCGTGCGAGAAAAATAACATATCTTGCTCGAGACACAATACAAAAAAAGTACAAATAAATAAACGTGTGATATAGAGTGCAACTGTGAAATCACAACGATCGAAGGTAATGTGTCGCTTTTCTTCTCCTTTCTTTCTGAATGAGGGCTACTTACTCTTTCGAATTCGCTTCTAAACTGCGTCTACGTAATTCTTCAATACTGTGGCCGGTCTGCTGCTCCCAGGCAGTCTTCTCCGCCTCGAACGCCCGTCTCTTCTCCTCCAATTCTCGCACTTGCTGCTCTAACGAGCGTCGCATTTGTTCGTGTCTTCTCTGCAACTGTTTTCAAAATTTTCGCATGAATATCGACATCGTTTACATTTTATATGTAAAAAAGAGATATGAAAATAAATGGAACCTATTACGTGAGAAATGCAAACAAAAGTGCACAAGGATGTAGATATGTCTCACTTACATCCGCTTCAGAGTCCTTCAGTTTCTGCTTCTTCTCGCGAACTTTCATCTCAAACACCTGTTCCATTTCCGTCTCCATCTTCTTCATTTTGTTATCGTGTTCTCTCTTCTCTTCTTCCAGCTGTGCTAACGGGTTCCTACGAAATATCCCAGTGGGCTCGGATTAAAACTAACCGATTAAATTCGCCAGTACAAGAAGATACAGGATAACGCGGGAGATCGTATCAGATATCCTCGATACTTATCTAACCCTTGATCAGCGTTCTACTTATGTCTACAAGCTCCCGTTAGCTCTTTGCGGCACGAGAGACTCGACTCTCTACTTTGAATTTCGCAAATAAATCTCAAAGTCAGAATTGGAAAAGACAATATAATCATCTATCTAATATATATCCAAGTATCACGGTTAATAGTGCTTTACTCTCCAGGATTATTGCAGATAGTAACTAATAGTGCTGCAAAAAGATAACGGTAAATTATAACAACCATCAAATGACGTGGCGTCGTTATGAACAAACTATGCGTGTCACGAGTGTTCCAGATTTATTACAAAAAATATTCGAGATATTCTTTTTCCTCCGCGTACATCCGCCTTTCGTTGCGGACAATCAATGGAAAAAGCATAACAGCGAAACAGCTATTCCCGCTAATAATAGCACGATGGAGCGTATAACTCGTCGAATAAATTCCAACAAGGCCACGATCAGTTAAGGGTTAAACGCTGGAGCCTGGATTTGCATTGAATCGATGCCACACAAATTACATCCAATAATTGGTTTCCTATTTCATCACTATTTCGAGCTATCGTGGCGATTAGAATATCGCTTTTCAACTCACAGGAGTTCAACAATTCGTTTATAAAGCACATCGCGAAGCGACTAGGTTGAGAGAAAAAATCGTTAATCTTATTAAAATAATAATTATTTTTTGTGCCAACTAAATAGCATTCAAAATGGTTCTCTAACTGCAATTATCTCACTATGCAAAATTTCACTTATATTATATTATTTCACAAATATCAGACAGACTTTTCTATAAACGTGTATAGACGCTATGTGCGATAACATTCGTTGACAGTTCGATTCGTTCTTCCGTCATTTCTATACGACGCAAATCCGAGGCTCCTGTGTGAAAAGTAGATAATAGTAAAATCTGTAGAGCTACAACAAGATATTTACAGGCACTGTAAAAAATAACGCTAGCTATGCTAAACTACCGTACACAATACTGCAAGATACTAATGCCAAGGGACAAACGTATAATATAATAAAGGCGGCAGGCAAACGTAAATAGTGTTACATCTAATGTGTGAGATCTATCTTATCACTTGTTCTGTCTCTAAAGAACGTACAATTATTCGCGTCGATTATTTTTCTTGGAGGCCTCACTGTATACGCATCGGACGCAAACGCTACATCGTCGTTTTAAAATGCCGGATTAAAAAAAGCAAAAGAAAGGAATACACCCCGTTTACATTTCGATCTTCTATGATACAAAGCTCTCTCTTTACAACATCCGACACAACATCGATATGTAATATCTCGCGCGCAGTGAGCCCTCCCGATAAATGGAAGATCCCAAGAAAAAAGTTTTCGAAACTCGACAAGGCTTGTGCACACAAAACCATAGGTACATCCTTTTCAGCCTTATTGAAGGACTTACCACACCGTCATGAAACTGTTCATCACTCCTGGAGGGCACAAACTGACCAATAAGAAATTCACCATTAAAATTCGCACGGGGCGACGACGCGCTGTCGAGGTGGCGCGAAGAACAAGAAGAAGAAGCAACCACCTGGCAGCGTTCTCGTGTCTAATCTAAGGATACAAATCATCGTTCGCGATCGAGATAACGCTACTAACGATAATTCGAGCGCGAAACTGTGGGCCTTGGATAATGTTTGCATGCACAACCTTTCCTCCCTCATCTGTGAAGAATTCCTCGGAAAACGGAAAAATCAGAAAACGCAAACGACACACTGGTGTGGTGGTGATGGTGGTTACAAGCTGCGTTTCTCATTTACACAAGTACACACAATCGACAATCGACTTAAGAACCGGCAGCGACAATTTCCGGCGTCGGTATATACTGTGGTGATATACTGAAGCTCGAAATAAAACGATCTCAACGCATATACACAGACGAGTGCTCGCTCGAGACACGCTGCGTGCTCAAATCAAACTCAATGAAACAAACAATCTGGGACTTGCGGCGAGTACACCGAATAGACAAAGCGAGGCGTGTCGTGATCTTCATCAGACGGACGGACGGGTCCGACTAAGGAAGATGAATCGTCCCATCATTTAATTTTTTTTTATCGCGTCCGACGATAATGTTGATATCGCGCCACACTGGGAACAGGTGAATTAATCAATTGGGCGACACATTACGTGACATGAGGCTAAGTGGCTGTCGCAACGAGGGACGTGTATACTTTTGGGGGCTTGCCCTTCTTCTCGTCTCTCTCGACTTCAGCGAAATGAGCGGTAACCAAGCGAGTGGTTCGAGGAATCTTCGCATCTTTAAGATCACGACACACGACCGATTCGTCTACTTCGACGAACTAAGAGGTACATCTATTCCTCGACAAAGTGTTCTAGCACGATTATATATCTTTCGCTCGCTCTTTCCCACATAATCAGACGGAACATTTATGAGAAATCGCAAAACTAATCAAGCGACACGTGTGGTACTTACTTATTCGAGGCCTTTGTCGGCTTGCCGTCGACACCCAGGCCGGCTAACGTGCGACACCGGAAGTTCTCGTAGTGCACATTGTTCGTCACGTCTTTCAGATCCTGCACGTGTGTCCTCACCACCATATTTCGAAGGGCTATGAAGTCGCAGTGTTCCAGATTCTCGACTGTGTGCAGATAAAGAAAGGAACATGGAAAAATACAGTTGCAATTGTTAAATGCTCAAGTGAAGGATCAATGCGTTTCAAGTTACATTTCTTCATCGTATCTTCAGTAATTCGATCCATCAGTTGAGCGTTCGTTACAATTAATGGAGATCAACGCAATAGCAATCAACGTGTTAAAGTGGAGATTCTTCTTCGCATTTCAGACATGATGACGATAGATCGATGATTTATATCAAATGCGTACCTTCTGCGATTCCCCAGGGATACTTTCTGCCCCGCACTTTCTTGCCGTCGTGTTCGACAACAGTGTTCGCTCCTACAACCGCGAACGGTACTCGGTCCCTCAACACCTTGTGGAGTTTATTCTCTTCCTCCTCTTCCACCTCCGGAAACTCGTAGATCTTGATCTTGTGTTGCGCAATCTCATTCAAAATCTGAAAACGTCAGTCGGAATGTCAGTACGTGTGATGTTACTTCTCCTTCAAATTTCTTTTATTTTATTTGAAAGCTTTCAACGAGTCGTGCCTGTTTCTTGAAATGCGCGCATTCGTCCGGCGTCATGGTGTCAGCCTTAGCGATAACGGGTATGATGTTGACTTTATCGTGGAGACGCTGCATAAACTCCACGTCGAGTGGCTTCAATCCGTGGCCCGAGGGCGCGACGAAATAGAGACAGCAGTGCACTCGACTGTCTGGAATCTGTCGTCTCGTTACGCGAGACTCTGCGTTAAGGAACTCCTCGTATTTCGATTCGATGTAGTCGATGACCGGCACCCAACTAGAGGAGAAGAAAAACAGAGATGTCGACGACCAATTATATTGTTGAAGAGATGAAAATCTTGACGAAAGATTTGAAAGAATTCATCTTTTTCTATATAATTACCAGTTGCTGTTGTCGACGGCGTCGCCAAATCCGGGAGTATCGACTACCGTGAGTGTGAGGTTGACGCCGTTTTCCTTCAGCAGTACTTTGCTGGTTTCCACGGCGACCGTCTTCTTCACCCTGAGACTGGGCCCAGGATACTCGGCGCTGTATATGTCCGCCAGGAACATGGAGTTGATCAAGGTGGACTTGCCGAGCCCCGACTCTCCTATAGAGGATGAAGTTTTTAACTCTCTCCTGCTTAACTTTCTTCAAGTAAGATTCCATTGGAAAAGTAGGATGAATTTTCTCTACTTTCGAATGAGAAATTTTACTTCAAGAAATTTTAGAAGTGCACAAGTGATATTCCGTACATCATAAGAAATATCGCAAAACAATTTTTCGTGCATAAATATAGACTCCATTACAAGCCCGTTTCGTAAAAATCCACTTTCCTCTTGTGTGTGTATGTGTGTGTGTGTCTGTATGAGAGAAAGAGAGAGAGAGAGAGAGAGAGATTCAATTCACCGAGACACTACAATCCTATCAAAGCGAAGTAAGTTATAGACACGTCCGCCTTCCCCAAAGGCAAAATGATCATTAATCTCAGTCGAAGTATTTATGGTCGACAGTTCTGGGATATTCCGGAGAAGAGTATACAACAAGAGTCCGACAGATCCAGCGAAATAAATCAAAATAAATCTTGCACGATGGTGCACACGTCGAAACCGAGTGAAATGAAATGAAACGTGGTGACGTGAGAGTACCATGACCTCTTAATGCGCGAACCTTGAACCAGGCGAAGTGCCGCGCCTACGCTACCAAGGGTAAGCAGCAGCAGCACTTGGATTGCTCTATTTACGGAGGAACGGCTCCGTTTATACGCGGAGCTAATAATAGCCAGGCGCGCACAGACCATGCTCTCAAATTTCCCCCCAGACCCAATGACACTCTTTTACTCCGCGTCGTGTGCATGGCGCGTCGGCGGGCAAATCCGCGCGTTTAAAATCAATTCGGCTGGTCGCGCTGTCGATGGTTTAGTCAGCACTTTTATCAACAAGCTTCTCGAGCGAACGCATTCCTCAAATATGTATCTCTTTCTCTCTCTCTCTTCCCGACAATGTTGCGTTTGAGCTTACGATTACAAAATTGATTATTCTAATCGAAGAGAAATTTAGAAATTTATCTTACACAGCAGTTTGATGTATCTCCCATTACATAGCAGTTTTATGTATTTTTCCCGCATAAGGAAAAAGCAAATACTTCGTTGAACGAACTCGTGATATTCTCACATTAAATCGAGCGCAGTCACTCTCCTCCTATTAAGGAAACTGGCCGGCGGCGATAAATTCGAGAGCAATGAGAACGCGATAGCGCGCGCTGCAATTAGCGATTTATGACCTTTTTCAATCAGCGAAGTCACAAAGTTACTCTACGTGCGAATCGCGTCGCGTTATTACCGCGCAAATTGGTCTCCTAACCGAGTAATGCCGTTCATTTGCATAAATAACGCAAGGTCGACGCAGAGTGAGCAAATGGTCGGACGCACGGAGATTTCACGAAGGTCGGAGTCGAGAGAGCGCGGACGGATGCTGCGATGAAGAAGCGAGCTCCGAGGGACTCACTCGTCGGGCCCGCGTGAGAACCGCTGAACCTCGGCGACAACAGCCTTGATCCAGCTACGGGAGGAGGACTCGGCAGCAGCACGTGCTCGGCAGATGGAAGGAAGGTTCGCGAGATGATATTCCCGACAAAATGGAAATACCGACCGCGACGAAACGAATCCCTTTGTCCTCGGGCTACGAGTTTTAAGTCGTAGAATCGCGCGCGAGACAGACGGCCGCCGTTGTTCTTCCGGCCACATACAATGACCACTAAATGTCCAGGCTCCGGGAGAGAATCGCATTTCTGGCTGAGAACTCGACATCGATGATGCATCTCGGCGCGTCTGAGTTCTTTGCCAGAAAATCGCAACATGCTCATCGATCCCAACACCTCGGGCGTCGCTTTAAACTGACTCATTACTAGCTGACTATTATTGCGTTCCTTTTCTGTTTTATCGTATAAAAGGAAGACACGGCGGTACCCTCCGCGAGAGCTTATACTCGCGCGAAATTCAATATTCGTTGTAAGTTTCATCGCTATATTTACATGACGTCGATCATGAATACGCGGAGCTCCACCGCGGTCTTTCCGTGTCTATTCTGTAAAACAAGTCGCGACTGAATCACGGCAATACCGACCTACGACCATGAGCGTGAACTCGAAGCCCTTCTTCACTGCCTTCCTGTAGACCTGGTTAGGTAGATTAGCGAAGCCAACATAGCCGTCAAGCTCTTTAGGCTTGGTGGGTGGTGTGGGTCGCAAGTGATGCAGCAGACTAGTCTCCTTATTGCTGTCCTCTTTGGAGGTGGTCCTGGCGGACTCGCGTCTATTGCTGTCCTCGGAGGCGTCGTTCGGGATCGTCACCGCGGACGGCAATCGCGGCTTCGCGTTCGACCCCAGGCCGACCGAAGGCGTTACGGCGCTGCTGGAGTAACCAGATGAGGCTGACGAGGGTGGCGCCGGCGCTGTGTTTGGCGACGTGAGACTGCCGGCCGTGGTAAAGCTCGTTGACGACGACGAGTTCGTGGACGAATTTGGAGCCTGCGATGGTGGCTGTGGTGGCGGCACCGACGGCACCGACGGTGACGAGATTATCGACGAGCCGTCGCCCTTGAAGAACAACTCGCGCTTCGCCTGGATCTGAGGGAGAAACGAAAAACGTTAGAGAGCGTGTTGCGAGTGTTGCGTCATATCCGAAACATTGAATTGGATTTCCTCATATAGAAACAAATCAATAGACTAAAACTCTGCAATTTCGCGCTTGGATGATAGCCGCCGTCGAGTGTCACGGAAACAAGGAGAGTAAACGCGAGGGAAACGGAAACGTCTACCTCGAAAGCGGAAGCTTCGAGGTCTCCTTCTCATGCGAGAGACACCAATGTGGAGTGCATTTCGCGATTTCAAGGTTGTTGCGCACCCGGGCGTTCCGCCGTGTTCCGGAGAGCGACTGAATTACCCCGTAGTACATAATAACAGTAAGTATACGCGCGATTCCGTGCGTTACCTCGACCGTAAACTCGGTGAAAGAGCACCCTTTCCGCGATAAAATCGCATCGCATCGTATACGATCGATATTGCATGCCGGCCAGCGGTCGAGGCTTCTGCCACTGCAGTGTGTCTTCTTATATGCTTCCGGCCGGAAGTGGTCAAAGTGCAAAACATCGACCGTTACTCGATGAGCAGAGATTGTTGTCGATGTCCGCTGGGAAAGCCATTAAGAACGTCCATTTTCTCCTCACACGGGGGACAACCGTCTTTTTTACCGTTGGATATCGTTTTACATTCAATAATGTTAAATAAATTGATGAAAGTACGATTGATACGAAGATAAATTGATAAAGTACGATTTCGAAGATCGGTACAATTTCGGCAACTCTCTTTTATAGCAACATTCTGCAGCAATTGATTATCCACTCATTTTTCATGTATTATTTATATTTTAGAAATTGTGAGATGTACTATTACAAAATTTGCTAAATACAAAATTTACAAAATTTTTCTTATGAAACATAGTAAAATTCCATCTTCTTTTACTATATTTCTCAGCAAGATAGACTTTGTTGATAGCGAATTTTCTCCTGTGCTATTAGAAACATAGTAAAATCAAAAAGAATTTCTATGAAAAAGAAGCTACAATATTCTCCCCGTGTGCCGGAGTCTTCTTGAATATTACCTAGGTATCTGATGGCATTTTTTAAATTACCCCCGTTTATACCTGGGTAAAGAAGTAACAAGGTGAATACTGATAACATTATCCTAAAGTCCTCAATGCACTTTCTGCTTGAGAGTCAGCCAATTTTCAGCGATTTGGCTTGCGATTAGCAAAGGCGATCGGCCGCGTTTGAGCCTAAATGGCGATCGTTTAGCGTTGAGATGTATAAGGCGTGCCAGAGGATACACCTTGGTACACACACCACCATGTGTCCCGTTACACTCGGACGCTCGTCGTGGAATACGAATGAATCAGATAATCCGAATGCACACGCGCCGATTTACACTTGTAAATTCGTGCGTAAGGTCAAGGCGGAACAAAGACCGACCCAGAGAGTTATTCTTCCTTCTTGTCGCGTTGACAAGGTGAGTCTCGTTAATGAACCGTACGGATCATCACCCCGATAGCTCCATCAGACGCTTTTCGGTTGTCGTTTGTCTCTTATCGAGCTGCTTTATCAGCCTGGATAAGATTACATTTTATCGGGAAACGTCTACGCTCTGGAAGTCCTTCTTCGGGACGTATGAATCACGTAATTTCACAATTACAGCATAAAGAGATCGATTAATCTGACCAATTGATGTGGAAATTAGTAACACATGTCGCTTATCGATTGATCCCTCTGACCTTTACTCTCCCCCCCTCACCTCTTGAATTCACTTTAATATCAGTTTCATGGCGCAGAGGGATCAATCGTACGAATCCCAAATAAGTACTTGGAAAATATTACGGATCGATAATCGCAAGTGACTTTTAAAGCGTCCGAGAGAGAGAGAAAGGAGAAAAAGAGATCCTTGCCTTCTCGAAGCGCGCGAAAATTCTTTGCTTATCGAGCGTTTCCCAAGTCGTTCCGCCGAGTCAACGAACGGACGATTGCGCTTTAAAAGCATTTCACGCGCGCAGCGCGGGATAAACGTCGGCCACTGCAAATGGAGTAGTGCAGCATGCAGTGGCTTAAAGTGCACACAGCTTTGTTGCAGCGTCGCGCCCGATAAATCCCCGGTAGACGGTGAAGTTCTCTCGCCCGGCAAGCGACTCGCCGCCACTCGAAACACTTCAAAAACGATACGATATCGTGTAAATAAAAAAGGGGAACGGGAATATAAAATATCGCCCCGTGTTCAACGAAACGAGGTAACAACAATCGGCCATCATTTTGCGTACGCGTTCGTCAACGCGTTCGTCCGACGTTCCGCAACTTTAAATAGCACTCTCACGCGCAATACAGATGTCTAAACACAAAAATACTTATTATAATTATACATCACGATAAATATTTTCTGTAATAAATACTTTGATATTAAATATTTTTATTGTAATATGCATTATCACGCGCAATCTATTCATCTATCTCCTTGAATTAATAACTAAAAATTTACGTGGTCATTTGCAAAATAGTACAAGACTTTTTTATTCAGTTTGATCTCAATGTACAAGCACATTGCGATAGACGTTGCCGTCACAGCTCATCTAACATGATTGCGCGTAATCGTCCACCAATCTGTTAACAATTCATAATTTTACATGATTGTTTGCGAAATGGTAGAGGAACTTTGTGTTCCGTTTAACGATGCACATAACGGATGTGTCAATGATTGTCAGACAGCCGTATATAAGGACTGTAATAGATGGCTGGATATTTCATATTCAGATATAAATAAGCGATTTCGCATCTGTCTTCCCTCTTCCCGAAGACTGTCGCTCGCGGTACCATCCGCCCCTACCAATCGCACTTTACGTCAATCCGCCCGGTTTGACATTTAGATTCGATCATCGATTTGCACGACCCTTGCGAAGAGGTGAGGGAAAGGGCGGACCACGGACCGCCGCCTTGTATACAACACGTCGCTCACGTAGTTATTGTTTTTGCCGCGGTGAGAAACGATGACACAGTGTACCGAGAGTCCTCCTCTCCCTTGAGAGAGTGGCAACTGCGAGTTTATATCGGCGCTTCGCGTCGTTCACAAAGTGAGTCTCTGGGAACACGGGAGACCAGGCGCAGCGAGTGCAACAGAAACCGGTCCACCATACGAGACTGCATCGCAGTGCAGCATCACGCATGTACACACACACACACATTCTGGGGATATAAAGCCGCACTGTGACGACTCGGCGAATACGCTTCTTTCCCGTAAGCGTATCCCGTGTGTGTATCGAACGCGCAAAAAAAAAAAAAATAAAGGGAAAAAAGGCGACCCGCTGGTTCGCGTGGATACACTCGAAAACATTTCGTCGCGGAAAGACAAACGAAAAGCAGAGGAGCAACAGTAGAGGAAATTTTTTCCTCGCATTTAGAAATGTCGAGAGAGCACCTGACCGTAACATTCCGAGTTCGGGAAATGTCTCGCGATAACAAAGTTCCCATTCGAAGCGAAAGATATGCACTTTCAAAGTTCTATGCTTCGATAAAGTTGACGAATCAAGATCTCAGCTGACAAAAGTCTCACGGGGTATATATTATTATTCGCAACTGTGCTAGAAATCAACCTAATATCTATGTATCTCTGTCATCTTTTCGTTTCAAAGATCACCAATAGCTGTCTAAAAAATTCCAACGCCGAGATTCTGAAGAGCATTCCAGCTCGGCCGTTTCCTGGATCGTATTCCGCAAGATAAGATAAAAAACCTCAGTCACACCCTTTTTCCGTGAACACCGAGTTTTCACTTTTGCACGGAGCTTCCTTTTTCCACCAGTGTTGCGGCATTCAATCGTCATCATTATCTTTTCCCTCGCTCCTGACTCGCGACCCACAAAGCATCCCCCTCGTGACCCAACTTCGACTCCCAGGCTTGGGAACCCCTGTCGTAGGTCAATACTCTCTCTCGGCGAGGCTCACCACCACCGCCGTCGTCGCCACTACTACCAGCACTAGAGGCGGGCGGCGAGTCATCGTCGTGGTGAGTCGATTAAATCGATTCCGTGGAAAATGCATCCGCGGTCGGAACGGTGTTTCACGAGGGAGGAAGCAGGAAAGAAAGAGGGCGAAGAGAGGGCGGAGGCGAATGCTTTTGTCTCGCTAAGCTCTCCTACCATGAGCTTGAACGTCTCCTCTCTCGATTCCTTTCATCTTCGCCCGAAGTCTTTGCCGAGATCGCTCTCGATGATCATCCGCCGGCGAATGAACTTTCACCTTAACACCCGCGTTATGTTCGCGCTGCAGCACGTGCTCGCTGTTTTTAACGATAAAGGGAGAGAGAGAGAGAGAGAGAGAGAGAGAGAGAGAGAGAGAGAGAGACATATGCGACGTTTACAACCGAGATTCTTTTGTGCAAAGTGTCGTGGGAAAACGAGACGATGTTGCGAGCAGAGTTCTAGTCGAATTGGCCACCGACTATGTCGGGACAAAGTTTCAGACGGTATTTAAATAAACAAACCATTTTTGCGATCGTTCCAATTTCTCATAAAGAAGCGAATACGCACGAAACATCATCGCACAAGGAAACGATAAATCATCGATATTCTTATCGACCAAGATTGTTCGGGCTGTTATTTTTAATTGTATGCTTGAAGTGCATAAATGTATCGGACACTAAGTCATGTTAATTGTTATAAGCAGGAACAAACACGAGGTACTCAAGCGAGCGAAAAAGCTGATACCTTAACACCTGTATTTAACGTCAAACACTGATACACCCATGATATCATCGGGCTAAATTATATGTTATTCAAATAACTTGGATCTTGTTAAAAGTAGCAATCTCCATCGGAATATTACTTCTGACAATGTCCTTTCTAGAACATAAGTTACTTTTCTTCGAGTTTCATAAAAATGGGAAAAATATTGCTGCAAAAAAAGTTTAATTTAAAAGCCGAATAAATGTTTGAACGTTATAACATTTTGTGTTAATATTTTATATTATGGGTGAATAAACGACGCGTTATTATACTATAAGTTACACGTTACCTAAAAAATTAAAAAAAACATTT